ATAGCTAATATAATAATTCATATGCTAATATAAAATGGTGTAATTACACCAAATTCTATTTTAATTTCTATATTTGATAGGAAAAATAGGATTTGGTGGAAAGGATGGTAAAATGGTGGAAGGGTGGGAGATGCAAATTTCTTCACCAAAAAATTTAGTGAAAATATAGGGTTTGGTAATATGGTGATAGGTTTTGACCACAATAGGAGACTAAAACCAAATCATCATAATTTTAGGTGTAATGACGATTTAGTGATTTAGGTTGGGAGGTTAAAAACACCTAAATTAGGTGTAAAAAATAGGAAATAGTGTAGGGTGGAAGATGCCCTAAGGTATTATTTGATTATTTTAAATTTTAAAGATTATTTGCATGTGTGTTTTCCTTTGCAGCAGCCGCCATTGACGCCAAGAAATTCCAAGGAAAGTGGCTCATTACAAAACAAAGGCCCTTAGGTCAATTTCCCAACTAATCCATTTTGATTAGTTATGGATAATTACTTCTTTAATCCGACATTTTGCATGCTAACGTAGATAATAATTATTAATTAACAATTAACTAATTCCCATGTTTTGGGTTTACATTATTGCAAAATGCTATTATATATTCCACAATAAGAGCCATTGACTTTGACTTTGGGCTTAATCTTTTTGAACAAGTTGCTAAACTTGACCGCGCATTGTAGAAAGTTCAGCATTATAGAAAGTTCTTCGAACTTGATAAAATTTCGATATTGCGAAATGAATGTTCCAGAAAATAAACTGTAGCTCTTTCATTTGTTGGAGGGATGAAATGCTACAACACTATGCGTAAAATGTGCATTTATATATTTTACAAGATGAACTTCATCAAATGTAGCATAGAATAAGCCGTAAAGCCGGAGAAAAAAATGTATATTTTGTTTATAGTTTGAGGGGGAAACGAGGCACAGAGCATATGCGGAAAACAAAATCTGTACGACTCACTAATACAAATAATAGGGATTAATATCGAATATCATTGCATCAACTACAACTACTGTCTGTCTAACCCAAAAATGTCGAGTGAAACGTATTCTAAGTATACATAATTCCGAATCACCATTATTCACCCCTAATGCCTCGTAAATTATTCCAGAAAAAGGAAACCCAAATTTACCGAAGCCATATATGTATTTGCAGAGAACGAAAACTTCAGGTTTGTTCTTGTACCTGATTGATACTACAGCTTGGCTGAAGTTGATTAGACGGTTGAGGCATGGAAGCAGCGCATGGCTTGCAATCCAAAGGAGGGTTATCCGAAACAGTTATCCGGAAAGTCTGTTCGTTTTTTTCCTTTGTAGGTACGTGAAGGAGAGCTTCCATCATAAGGATTTCCCAATCTCGAGCTCGTAGAATCGAGAACCATGTATCCTCTGTTTGAAGAGTAAAAACAAATGCAGATATCAAATTAACGCAGAAATAAACGAAACCCCCGTCCGAGTAACAACTCCAAGGCATAAGGAAAAAAATGTTTTTATAAGGAGTGGAAACGAACCTCCATTACGAACTGCTTTGAGCTGAAAAATGCCGGTGCCTTGCGGGCCAGAGACTGGAAAAGTACAAGAAAGAGAGTGGCGCTGGTGAGCTACTGCAAGTGATGCGTTGTACCATGGACCCCTCACAATAGGCTCCCCAAGAGCTTCGATTATTGCCTGGTTCTTACTGGCTTTCTCCATGGCCTTGCTGTAACAGTTGAAATATGTTTAATATAACAATTTCCACAGTAGAGGAAACAACATAAGACAGTTTATTTACAGGCACTCCTATCTTCCTAAGGTAGATAAACAAATCATCTTTCGAAGATTTTGGCAACTTAAACAAGTATGAATATGGACAGAGCAAAGTAGAAAGAGAAGAAGTGCAAACTTAGATAATTATATGGTGTCTACCGGGAAAGTTGGGTTGACCTTCCATGGGATGTGGATAATTGTCTTCCACCCCGGCATTAGGTATTTCTGGATCATCATATCCAGTATCTACTTTTCTATTTAGTTGATGTTAGTCTTGAGGTTAACCCAGTAATTTCAGAGAAGATAAAAGTGAAAGCAGAATGCTATAGGCTTCAGCTAAGCATGGAAATTCCCGTAACAATGGTTGCACTACTCTAGTCTGATTAACCCACCACTGGTTTTCATTCTTGATTTTGAAGATTCTTTTTTTTTTTTTTTTTTTTTTTTTTTTTGATTTTTTAAATGTAACTTGATGACCTATGCAATTTCAGTCACTCAGTGTATACAAAGTAAGAGAAGAAATTAATACATGACCGTGAAAAGAGATAAACGGATATACACTCTACACCTGTAAAAAAGCAACTACGTGCACCAGAAGTTTATAACACAATTTGATGTCAATACTTCTTGGTATGGCATTTCTGCAATTTTGTGCAATCAAAACCAATGGTTACAGGGCATATAATGGTTAGGTACTTTAGTCCTTCCTACAGAGAACTAACTGATGGATTGGGACAATTATGCCCAAAAAAACAAAAGTCAGGGGGTTGACTACTAATTCTCCACAATCTAAAGGAGGTCAATGCAAATTTTTCTGCGTCACTAGCTACAGAAGAACGTTAGAATTTCTAGAATCACCCAACTCAGGTATGTGGTATGAGGTTAATTCCGTAGCATCTGTTTGATTTAACCATTACCATGAAGCAGCAAAACTGAAAAGACCACGACACGGACTGTAGAAACACGCACTTGTATCGACATAGAATTAATTATATTATTTATCTGGCTAACATAAGTATATTTGAGAACGAACAGGCTCGTGATAATGCAAATGGAGTACAGATTTAAATTATTTTAATTTATTTAACGGAATGCAACACGAAACGAGACCAATTATACATAATTAAATTCACGAGTCTTAATGCTTTTTCCACCATTTACGAAGACCTCTTCTGATATGCCTTAATGCTGATTTACCAGCAATTATATCAACAGATCTTGCTTGAACTATTACACTCTTTAGGTTATATAGTGACTACGAACGATGTGCGACGCTTCGATATTGTACGGCAATCAAATAGAACAAATAATTCTGGAAGGAAAAAACAAACGTAGCTGTATATCAAAATGAAATTTATAGCTACCATAAACAAGCAATTCATAGCTCAAAGCATAAAATTTCTCAGCCATACAAGCCAATTTCGCCCCCAAAATAACTGCATTTTTGGGGCATAAAAACCTAAACGAGACGGAATTTGAATTTGAAGTACAGAGTATAAACAAAGAGAGTAGTAATAAATAATAATACCTGCTGCAGCTTTGATAAATGACTAGATCGTCAAGAGCGCTCAAAGCGACGCCTCCAGTCAAGGAAATCAGTGCTCCTGAAACTATTGTACGGCCCCACGATTTCGATTTTCCATCTCCGGCTGGCGGCGGCGTTGGCGGTGGCGCAGCTGCGCCTCTGTTCTTAAGTATGGAGAGGAGCCTTCGGCCCACCATCGTTCTGCTTCCCTCGAGTCACCGGCTGAAAAGGCAAACACAGAACTGGGGCTTTGGCTTTCAAACCAAAAAACAAAAAGAAAAAAGAAAATACTGGGGATATAAACGTCATTTGCACGAGCCGAAAACTCTTACTTGAAACGTGGCCACGTGGGCCATAATCTAAACAAATAAATGGACTGAATCTGATAAAAATATATAATACAGGCCCTATGGGCCATAATTTAAACAAATAAATGGACTGAATCTGATAGAAACATATAATATAGACCCAGTGGTCTATATTCGATCTAATTCGTTCTCATGGCCCATAGATAGATATCAAAAAATTAATTTTAAATATATTATCTATACATTTAATGAAAAAAAAACATAATTATAAAAACCTTCATTTTGAATTTTGCATCACCAATTAAATTGCACAAAAATATATTTTAAATTTATAAATTTACCATATGCCAAAAGAAGTACTCATAAAATCAAACTAACATCAAAATGCTTTCAGAAGAATATTTATGTTTCTCCAGAGATGTATTAAATGTAATATATATATTTTTTAATTATAAATTCGATAAACCTCGGGATGGTTTATGCAATTTATCCTTTTTCAAATGAAATCATGTAATATAAGGTTTCAATAATAAATAATGTAAAATGAGTAGAATTTAGAGAACATTTCATGGAATGTAGAAAATTCTGTTGAATTTGACACAATAAGAGTGGACGTGTAAGAATATTCATAATTGAAGGACTTGATTGTATTTTCCGAACATAAATAGTTTTTTTTCGTAATATGACCCTACCTACTAACCATAATTTACCCTAATAAATATTAAAAAAAACTAAAAATAAGAGGATCAAATGACAAGGCATTATTAACCAACAAACTTGCTTAACCATTAATAATAAAATATAAATACTTAAAGAACCAATTACAAAAAGCTGGTCCCAGATCAGTCTTTAAACTCTGAACTACAAGTGCAGATAACTTGCTCTTAATTATAATTTACATAAAAAAAAAAAAAAAAAATGTCATCATAAATCAATGCGTATTCTCATATTCAAAGCTTTTCTCCATTAGCAATGAATTCTCTGCATGCTAAAAAGAGGGGGGGGGGGGGGCTCATTAAGATCAAACTTTTACCTTGGCTCAGAAGAAGTCGAAATATATCTCTTAACGAATCCCATTCTTATTGGCCGGCCACCAATGATTTCTCGTGTTATAACAAACACCACGAGCAAAACACCTCTCAGCCAATCAAGCAGCGACAGCTGTCATCTCTAGTTCAGGTTCCTGGACTTCTTCTGCAACAGCTTCAAGCAAAGGAGTTTTCTGAAACTCGTTCCTCAGTTGCCCACATGCTGCTTTCGCATCCAACCCCCTCGTTTGACGTACGCTCACAGTAATTTTACGAGACTCCAAAGCAGCCGAAAATGCAAGAACCTGCATTAAAATAGAGAAGAAAAAAAAAAAAAAATCCAGCTGTCATCACAAGATTTGGTTAGTGGGGCCCACATTTGGAGCGAAAAGAGACAGTACCGTTTTCTTGTAGGGACGCTTGAACTCGGACCCTTCTATATGGTTGAAAGGTATTAGGTTTACGTGATAGCTATGACCCCATTTTTGAAGAAGCTGTGCCAGTTCTATTGCATGATCTACAGAATCGTTTATTCCAGCTGTGCGAATGAAGACGGGATCGAAATATAAAATAATCACTTCATATGTTGTCTCAAAATGCATGACTTACTGCAAAAGGGAGTTTTAAAAAGAGCAAAAAAATATAAAAAAAATGGAAAATACCTAAGAGTGTGTATTCGAAGGAAACTCGTCTACCGGTTTCAGTAAAGTAATGCTTGCAGTCCTCCATGATTGCGTCCAAAGGGTACGACTTTGCACTCGGCACAATCGTTTCCCTAAGTTTCTGGTTTGGAGCGTGTAAACTGAAGTGTGAGGGAAATTGGAAAAAAACGTACAAAATATGTGAGTTGTAATAAATAATATGTTTCGGTGAAAGTTAGCATGGTAAAAAGTAGTATTACCTGAGAGCTAATGTAGATTGAAGCTTGTGAGTGGCCAGTCTTCTGATGGTGTTTGGAACTCCAACCGTCGAAATTGTTATCATCCTTTGCCCAATTTCAATTTCCTTCAAAACAAAAAAATCAAACTTTAAAAATTGAAACTAGATACTGATGGTTGAGATCTTCCAATGTAACATTTTCTCGATTAGTGTACCTTGTTCAAGCATCGATGTGCTGCAAGAACTTCTTTCAAGTTCAACATTGGCTCACCCATTCCCATAAACACCACATTAGTAACTCGGCGCTTGAATACCTCTTCAATTGCCAAAACCTGAAATGTTTTTAAGACATCAAAAAAATCTATAAAAAAATAAATTCAAAATTATTCCGGAGCAGAAGAAAAAAAAAAAAAACCTGTTCGACAATTTCATGACTCTTAAGGTTCCTCGAGAAACCTCCCTTGCCGGTGGCACAGAAGGCGCATTTTAATGGGCAACCCACCTAGTCAAACAAAAGCAGAATTGATAATAAGATGCAAAAACATAGTGCATAACTATTGTTGTTAAGAGAATAACTGTTTTTACACGACAATTCACCTGTGACGAGATGCATGCAGTCAGTCGAGGTGAGCCTTTGATATTGTCAACAGGTATGCCGACAGTTTCCACCAGCCTGTCATCATCCAGCTTTAGTAGCAACTGAAAGCGAAAAGAGCCGTGATAATAATATTTGCACACGCAAACACATACAAAACAAGAGAAATTACGTGTCATATTTTTGGTGAACATATATTAGGAGCACAATACATTCCACGACAGGGACATGAAGTTCAGAAATTAGTAAACAGCATAACAAACAGCAATAATAGGCATTTAATCGTAACGAAGAAGATCATACATATGTCGGTTACGCAACTAATCTATCTCCATAAGTTTGGAAATGCCGATCGTTAAATTGTGAAAGTGTCAGTCCATTCCTTCGATTATTAGAGAACAACATATACTGAATGTATTTTGTTCTGAAAACCAGAGGTTTTTAGATAAATAAACAAAAAAAATTCAAAGAGATACAATATCAGATTTTTATGCTGCTTCTTGATGTTCTGCCTTTCCATTTCCTATCAAATCAATCAAAATTTCGTTTTCTATTAGCTCATTATTACCCCACCACCATCATTCATTTTCTTAAAAATGGATTAGCGTACACAGCAATATCCACCACATATCCACAGCGATTCAATCCAAACAACTGATCATTAGAACATTCAACTTTAAACAATAGTACAGAAGCAGTAAATTGTTCACCTTGACTGTACCATCAGCGGCGGTGACCGATTTGTAAATAGGCGACCGACCCACATTCCACCCTGCTTCCATCAATTCAGTCCTGAAAGCCTGTGGCACTGCCAAAAATAATAATACAAATAGAATAAAAATATTATTCAACAGTTGCCCAAACCAAAATTTGTGAGTAATTAATAAGAAATGTATAAAAAAAAAAATTGTCCTCACCGTGAATAAGATCCTGAATTTCTTTAGCCTTCATCTTGTACACCAGATTATGCAATTGCTTGCCTCTGTACTTTTGCTGCCACAAAAATACACAAATGATAAATAATATTTTAAAATATAAAAATCAAATAACAATTATGCATCTTCAATCTGAAGAATACCTGACCAAAATCAAGGGCGAGTTGTTGGAATTCTGGCTCTGACATGCCCACTAGCACGCATGGGTCTTGTTTATTCTTTTTGGCCGGAGGAGGTACGGCAACTGTAGAGGCGGTGGCTGCGCCGCCGCCGCTGCAGGCAATTGTTAGCGCGCGAAACTGTACAACACGCACGAGGGGAGCGTGTCTCAATACTGCTATTGGAGTCATAATTAGGAAGAAATTTAGAAAACAGAGTTTGAGAAGAGAGGAATGGATGAAAATGGAGATGGTGATAATAATAATAGCTGAAATGATAAAAACCCCTCTCTGGCTTCGACTCCCGTTAAACCTCAATCTTTGGAGACAAAATGACTAATATAGCCCTGGAAACGATTATGAAAATTAAATTAAACCAGTATTGATTAATGATTATTGTGAAACAGAAAATTTGTCCGGCAAAGTTCTAACACCAATTTAGGCAATTTAAAATAAAATGCTGGGATAACTCGTAGACGAAAAAAAGAACATGATTTTGGAATAAGAGGGTGTTTGGCTTAAACTTATAAGACGTTAAAAGGAACTTATAAAATGTTTTGGAGCTTATAAGTTCTTCTAAAGTATTTGGTAAAATTTTAAAATAAGATTTTTAAAAATAAGCTGTTGGAGAGCAAATAAGATATTTTTAAAAAAATATCTCTACTCACCTTTTTATTTAAAATCTTATAATAAGTAAAAATAGAAAATAAGCTAATTATCCAAACACTCTAAAAATTAATCCTGAGAATAAGATATAACAGCTTATCAGCTTGAGAATAAGATATAACGGCTTATCAGCTCTTAAACATCTTGTCAGACATAGAAGCTTAACAGCTGTTTAAAATAAGTTTAGCCAAACACCCTCTAAAGAAAAAATAGTAATTGACAGATTAATTATTTTCAAATACATTTATCTTTGAGTAATAAAACTTAGGGTTGGACATGGGTCGGTTCTATCGGCAAACCGACGCACTTTCGGCCCACTTTTTTTGGCCAATACTGTTGGACCGGTAATTTTAACCGACCCATATTTAAATAGGTCAGTTTACTAAAAAATCGGGTGGTTGGATAATAATATCTTTTAAAAACATCTTATTATTGTAAAAAAGAATTTTTTTTAAAAAAATCAATAAATAGTGACAGATATTACCAACCAATAGACACATTGTTTACATGACAAAATCGGTTGCCAACCATTATCCGACCCGTAATATTGGTTGGCAATGGTTTTTACTTTTTAATATTCAGCAAAATCGACTGGTCGGGTAATTGGCCGATAACTGCCTTACCCGACCCATGTACAACCCTAGTACACTAGTACTACTCCCAATTGTTATTGACTTATTGATTATTCTAAATTTGACCCATTGGGTCATTAGCCCAAGTGGCCCAGCTGAAGCTATAAATTAAATAAGGCCCGTGAAGATTGGATGCCTCAGGCAATATTTGGCAATATTTCCATTTATTTCTGTTCCTCTAAATTAGCAACCAAAACTCATCACTGGAGTTGCTAGAAAGCCAAAGAGTCACTGCACACACACAGGTTCTAAAAGTGTGGACTCTTAAAGTTATAAATACATTAACAGGCGAAGGAGGAGGCCTCGGATAAGCAACACCGTTTCTGCGCAAGTTTCCTACGTAAGAATGCTCGTTTCTTGAAGTTGCTCTAATGCTTTAACAACTTCAGGCATAGTGGGCCTGTACTTGGGCTCTAAAGCTAAGCACTTTGAAGCAAGAGTTGCTGCTTCGACTGCTGCCATAGACGAGTATTGACCTTGTATACGGGGATCAATTACTCGAAGTAATTTACGCTTGCTCGCCAAGAAAGGCCCGGCCCATTCTACAAGCTTATGTTCCCCCTGCGGAAGGTTCTTATCCAGCACCCTTCGGCCCGTCAATATCTGGAGAAGCACAACCCCGAAACTGTACACGTCGCTTCTTGATGTGACATGGCCTTTGAAGAAAATTAGGAAGAGCAATCCAAATTAGGACAAGATTAATGCTTAAGAAAGGAAACAAGTGGAAAATGCGTACACACACACAGACACATACCTATGCCCATATACTCGGGAGCAGCATAGCCAAAACTACCCATAGCTCTTGTAGCCAATCCAAAATCAGACAGCTTCGCATTGTAGTTCTGCCCAATTAAAACAGCGTAAGGAAATCGGGAATGTATTCTTTCAAACTTATAAACTCCGGAAAAAAAAAACACATGTTATTAATTTGATCGTACTCCGTCAAGCAAGATGTTGGAGGATTCGAAATCCCGATAAACGACTTTGGTTTCTGCGCTGTGCAGATATGCGAGTCCCTTAGCTGCACCAAGCGCGATCTTCATACGTAGGTTCCAAGGCAACGGCTGGAGATGGACCATCCCTAAATAAATCAAATAGGATAACAATTTTAAGTCTGTGTGAACGATAGAAAAATTCTCTCATATTTTATACCCTTTTTTTAATAATAGAATAATCGACTTACTCCTGTATAGATGGTCGTCCAAGCTTCCTCGTGACATGAACTCGTAAACCAAAAACCTACGGTCATCCTCTAGGCAATAACCAATCAGCTTCACCAGATTCGGATGGTATAGCTGTCCCAGAAAATTGATCCGTGTCTGAAATCCAAGATATATATATATATCAGCCAAGGAAAAAAAATCAAGAACCTAGCGAAAACAAATTTGTCGGTAACGATCGGAATTTAATGCAATATCAAACAACTAACCAACCATTCACTGTGACTTTCGGGAACTTTTTGGTTCAATCTTTTTATAGCAATAACTGCTCCGGTCCCCGGTTTAGTAGCTTTAAATGTACGTTCGTCGATCCACCCTTTGAAGACGCAGCCGAAGCCACCTTCGCCCAACACGCTCTCCGGGCGGAAGTTTCTAGTAGCTTCTCTGAGGTCGTTCAATACGAATCTCTTTAAATCCGGCGATTCGAAAGACAAGCGCCTGCTACTTGTGCCTGCAATGAGAATCCACATATATCAATCGAACTCCATTCGAGACCAAAGCATCGGTGTTTATGAATTCAATTGTGCAATGAACTGTTGAATTTGATTGTGAATTTCATAAATCATAAATCCAATTTGATTGCAGACAATCGAAACATATAAATTTGACCTAAAAAATATTTAATCTTTCTTCGATAAAATTACGAACCTTGAGAGACAGACAGCGGATTACAATCTCGAATTAGCGAACGCAGATAGTATAGATTACTACTTTATGATTCAGAAAATGAAAAATTGAAATAAATTACTGGAGAAATTGTAGGTTGAAATCATGAAAATCACCATCTTCATCATCGGATGAAATGGAGCTGATGCTTGGAGACCTAGAATCGGCATGGCACAGTTCCCAAATCTGCTGCCGCCGCACCACCGCCGTGACTAACCTCTCCCAACTGTCCCTAGACATCTCTTTCTTTTACGATCACCAGTACAGAGTGTGGAACCTCCTCCCTCTTTACTTTTATTAAATTAAACAAAGGGTAAGTAACGGTAAATCCTCGAGCTAATGTTAAATTACGAAAATATCCATTTCAGTTGGATATTTACAGTCACTACTTTAACTATAAATTCTATTACATATCAATCATCGCGTTGTAATTTTAATGGAATTTTTTAGATTATATGGAAGATTCTTCAGTTTGTACCCAATTTACCTCATTCGAAATCCACATAAAAAACTTTATTGCAAATATCAGACTGTGAGCATTGAAAATTGTATTTTTGCACAAAACGAATACAAATTAGAGAACATTCCACGAAATCAAGAAAATTATGTTGAATTTGATACCATAAAAATGAACGTGTAAGAAGATTCATAGTATAGTTGAAGGAAGTGGTTCTAATTACACAAATATGACAGTTTTTTTTCGTAATTTTGGCCAAAATTTACCCAACAAACAAAAGATAAAACCAAAAGTGTACGACTGAAATGACCACTTTACCCATCAAGTTACTTTCCTAAATTTCCTTTTAACTGCCAACCTTAAACAAACAATAAACAGAGATTTTTAGCAACCAAAATAAAAAGGGCAAAGAATCACTGTACACAGTTTCTTCAAGTGTGATAGATATAACTCAACAAAAATTACAAACAAATTAAATCCCCCCATTTTTTTCTTTCTCAAGCAACAACAACATTAACATGCAAAGGCGACGGCCTCGGGTAATTAGCAGCACCGTTTCTGCCCAAACGTCCCATATTATTATTATTAGTATTATTATAAGTCCTATAATTATGACGACGATGCTGCTGCTGTTGCTGCTGCTGCTTCGGTGGTTCGGTCTTTACGAGAATTCCCGTGTCTTGAAGTTGTTCCAACGCTTTGACGACTTCGGGCATAGTGGGCCTGTATTTGGGCTCTAAAGCTAAGCACTTTACAGCAAGATTTGCTGCCTTTAGTGCTGCCCTTGGAGAGTATTGGCCCTGTATACGAGCATCCATTACTCGTAGTACTTTACGCTTGCTCCCCAAGAATGGTCCCGCCCATTCTAGAAGCTTCTGCTCCCCTTGTGGAAGGTTCTTGTCCAGCACCCTTCGTCCGGTCAGCATCTCGAGAAGAACCACCCCGAAACTGTACACGTCGCTTCTTGCCGTGAGGTGTCCTTCGAAGAAGAAAAAAAATAAGACGGACGTAAGATCGTAAGATAATTTCTTTTTTCCATATTAAGTTTCACTTTAGAGTTTTTAAGTAGATTGAATTTTTCTTTTTTCCAATTTTACCCCAACATTAATGATTACATTAATGAAGTGAAAAAGAGAAGATGAAAAGCCACAAAGGGGTAATTTGGTCAAATAAGGAAAGTTTTTTTTTCTTTCCAAGAATCAAGACTATTCAATAACTTTTTTTAAACGACACTTGAAAAAAAAAAACCGGAGGGACTAGCAATTAAAAATGGATTTTATCCTAAAGAAGTAAGATACTACGTGTTTTTGAGAAGTCGTTTGGGGGGCCATGGCCCCCCCTTTGGCCCTAGCTTTCTTGATTACATGTCTAGGAGCCACAATTGTCCTTAACTTAAGTTCTTGTTGGTTTGATGGCTCAAAATTAGGAATAGTAATCCAAATTACATAACGAATTAATATAATTTGAAGGTAATCGAGAAACTTTAGTGAGTGCTTAAAGAAAGCAAACAAGTCGAAAATGTGTGTGTGTGTGTGTGTGTGTGTGTGTGTGTGTGTGTGTGTGTGTGTGTGTGTATAATATATATATACCTGTGGCCATGTACTCGGGAGCAGCATAGCCGTAAGTACCCATAACTCGCGTAGAAACGTGACTTTTACCGTCCATCGGCCCATCCTTGGCCAATCCAAAATCAGACAACTTCGCATTATAGTTCTGCCAAATTCATCAATCAAATCTCCGTAAGCAAAATCGTGTGTGTGTGTGTGTGTGTGTGTATACATTATTTCCAACAATATAAACTCTCAACAAAAAGAAAAAGAAAAAAGCACATGTTAGCAAAATTAATTTCATCATACCCCATCAAGCAAGATATTGGATGCTTTAAAATCGCGATAAATGACTTTCGCTTCGGGGCTATGAAGATACGCTAGCCCCTTTGCTGCGCCGAGAGCTATCTTCATTCGTAGGTTCCAAGATAACGGCTGAAAATGATTCGTCCCTAAATGGTAAACATAACCTCAAAAATAAGTCCATGCATATCACATAAAAAAAAATTAATTCTCTCGTATTTCACAACCGATCGACTTACTTCTGAACAGATGATTCTCCAAGCTGCCTCGAGGCATGAACTCGTACACTAAGAGCCGATGTTCATCCTCTAAGCAATAACCAATCAATTTCACTAGATTCGGATGGTACAGCTGTCCCAGAAAATTGATTTCTGTCTGAAATTAAATCGATAAATCAGACAACAAAAAAAATCAAGAAACCTAGGATGTAATAATTTGATAAATAGGGGAAAATCGAGAATATGTAGTATACTAACCAACCATTCCTTGTGGCCTTGCGGGCCTTCTTGATTCAATCTTTTGACAGCAATAACAGCTCCGGTGCCCGGCTTAGCGGCTTTAAACGTGTGCTCGTCTATCCAACCTTTGAATACACAACCGAATCCGCCCTCGCCCAACACACTGTCGGGGCGGAAGTTTCTAGTAGCTACTTTTAGGTCGTTAAATCCGAAGCTATTCAAATTTGTCGACTCCAAAGTATCGACCTCTTTCCGAGGTGTCAATGGAGCCGACGAACTCGGTCCTACAATCCGAAATCAGAAATCAATCCCACATATAATATTGAATCAAGAAACACATAATTTTGACCTAATAAAAAAGTGATCTTGACCCGAATATCGAAATCGAAATCGAAATGCAGGCTTCTATATTATTCAGCTTCAATCTTTCAACCATTTTCAACATATGGGATTCATTGTTCATACATCACTAAGTGGTCAACTACATGGGATTATCAATCAAGAAACACATAAATTTGACCTAATAAAAAAGTAATCTTGATCCGAATATCGAAATCGAAATCGAAATGCAGGCTTCTATATTATTCAGCTTCAATCTTTCAAACTATTCTCAACATATATATACAAAAGGGATTGATTTTTCATACATCACTAAGTGGTCAACTACATGGGATTATCATTATCAATCAGTCAATCAATCAATCAACACTGAACATTTAATTCAAGAAACTAATTAAACAGAAAAAAGAAAAACAAGAAGACAAGTGATTATATAATCCTGCAGGATTGACTAACTGATTAACTAACCATCATGGCGAGTATCAGCTCTTATTCGAACACTGCAGCAAGATCCCATTTTTACTAAGACAAAAAAATTAAACCCTGTCTGGAAAAATTCTTGTCTGAAGTTGAGGTGAACCTTATTTAAAGAAACCTCCAAAAAAATTCAACAACATCCGAAAAACCCCCAAAAGTGTGAACGAATATTAAAAGGAAAGAGAGAAAAAAAGGGGAGCACAGCACACATTGAAACGACACACATAAAATGGCAGATATTTCTATTTTATTATTTATATTAATTAATTGTCTGTTTCGATGAACAATATAATAATTTTGGATTTAATTAATTTCTTTTTTTGTTATTTATTTTACGTGTGTTCGGTTGGGATGCACGAGAAGCCGTAGTAGCCATTTAAAATCTTTTAATGTAAATTACGGCGGCCACCCCTGAGGTAAGGTTAAATTACGAAACTCTCCTTTATGTTTGGGTAATTACAATTAACTTCATTAACTATGAATTTTCTTACACGTCCACCCTTATGGTATTAAATTCAACAGAATTTTCTAGATTCCGTATAGTGTTTTCTAGTTTGTACTCGTTTTGTGCAGCAATGCAACTTCTGAAGTGCCACAATTTGATATTTTCAGGTTAAGGAGACACATTTTATGATCATCTTGTTTCTAAATATGAAGCTCGAATGGGGTAAAACGGGTGCAAATGGGAGAATATTTCAGATAATCTAGAAGATTACTACACTAAATATGACACCGTAATGGTGGATATATAAGAAGATTTATAGTTAAAAGTAGTGGTTGTAATTATTCAAATATGAGGGGATTTTGGTAATTTGACATTACCTCAGGGGTGTGGCCATAATTACCCAATCTATTATTTATATATTTTCAAAACAAAGCTAAAAAGGGTTGACTTTTCTTCCTCATGGCCCTACTGTCTTTAATCACTGCAAACACTTCAACTTGTTTGATAATTACATTTGTATATTTTGTTATTATATAAAGAGTTATTATAATATATAGATAGATTATAGATACACGTTTTGTATGTATGCTTGTAGCATGTGGCATTGGCTTATCTATTTGATAGTGCTTTGGCACCTTCCATAAGAGGACAAGTCTCCAATTATGTGCCTGTACATTCAGCCAATTTATCAAAGTATTAAACCAAGTCAACGCCTTTAGATACATATTTTATTTACTTTTATTCACTAAATCTGGGGTTAAAGAGGTAATCTTGGCGAACACATCCCTTGGTTAAAGAGTTAATCTTTCATTAAGGTTTTATTACTGGTATAATTAAATTAACAGAATAAATTCTTGATTTTCACATGCTGGTTTTAAGAATTGAAAATTAAAGTGAAGATAACATTATTACTTATATAATAATGTACGAATATTATTATTATTGTTATTATTATTATAGAAAACGTCGATTTTATATATACTAAATTGTCACTATCTCTCTTTAGTGTTTAGTCACTTCAATCTCCTTTCGAGGAAGGCACTCTCGAAAAAGAATGGTCCCTTGTTCATAAATAAAAATAAAAATAAAAAAATCAAAATCAAGAAATTTGGTACAAATTTTCCTTTAACACGTAATATATACTTAGGGCTAGTTCGGTTACCGCTATAAGGTTCTACTGACTAAATAGTAGGGGCTAATAACATGTTCGGTTGGTAAGATTCACACTTTTTCAAACCAGCTACTAAATTCAAAGCCCGCTATTAAATGCTACTATTTCATTAAATTAGTAGCACCCCTCCCCCTGAGATTAATTTAAAAGGGGTGACTAAAAAGGAAAAATACAATTTTATCCTTAAAATTATATTTTATTATTGTAAACTAAGTAGTTTTATAGACAATTCATATATAATAACTGATTTTAACAAATTTAATAGAAAGTCTAATCTAACAAACCGAACATGCTACTAACTAAAAAAATAATTAGTCAGTAGGGAGTCAATCTAATCTCATATAATTCAATCTAATCCAATATAGGGAACCGAACGAGCCCTTAGAATATCAGCGTCACCATTTAGATATATCTAAGGTCATGTGTCAGAAATTTATAAGTGGATATTCCACTATAGTTCGTCTTAACCGACATCCATTGTCACTCTAATTTAATTAATTAATTAATTTATTTATTTTTAAAATATAAAAACATTAAGATAAAGTAATAGTTGGAAATAATTGATGGATATCACATGGCCACTATATATGTTTCCGTGGCATATTCATAAAAGTTAGAAAAAGAGATGGTCTGAACATTGAACAAAAACACAACCAAAAAAATGAAGAAAAATAAATCACATTGAAGAAAGTTAGAGAGAGAAAAAAAAAAATTATGAAAGTGGATAAAAAAATAAATAAAAGACGGTGAAAGCTCGTGAGTCGTGACAAATGACAATAGGACTTTGTTTGGTCCAAGTTAGGCGAGCGTTGATACGTAAATATAAGTTTTTTGAAAAAATCACTTGTCGTATTGATTATGGCGTATATTTACATGATCTAATTTGAATGTGACATTTAAAAAATCCATAATATTTCAAAGAGTGATCAAGTAAATCAATAGACGCACCCCACATGGTTATAACTCAACTAAGTTTCAGAGGTGTTAAGTTAGTGCAAAGTCTTAAGATTGAGTACTGACAGCCCAATGAGATATTGACTCACCATGAATTATATCAGTTCATCAAAAATCTATCGGGCCAAGAAAGAGGGGCCTCGGGGCAAGGGATTTCAACTTTAGGGTAACGAAACTAATAAATAATTACACACTTGATACATTTAAAAGTTAACCCATGGCGAAATATTTTGGAGATAAATATATAGAGTATAAAATTAAAAGAGACTACGAAGAGCGGTGCACGTTAGCAAAGTTCGAAACCATTATGATATCGTCACGTCGATAAACAGCACACACCCCCACTTTTTGTTTGGTGATTTCTTTTTTCAGACTGTAGTTTAATCCTACAACATGTTTACTAATATAGTAATATACTTTGTTGTTAAAGGAGTTGTCTCCTCGTACAACCTACCAATTAACGTTGCTATGTTTCTTGGCCAATGACCAAATTTATACTTGACTCCATAGACAGAAGAAAAGTATGCATTCACACACGAAGTTATCATTCTAATTTTGAAGTTAAAAAAGAAAGTAGTTCTAAAAAATAAGATATAAAATTGTAATAAAACAACAAATCGAACAAGAACTGCAGGCGTACATATACTTACGACAAGGGACAGACATTCCGGAATGTTCAAACTTTACCGGGAAATGTACCGTTAAGTTATGAAAGATACAAGTAAAGATCTCCTTAATAACACAAAGGTTCCAAGATTTATTGGAGATATAACGTTGCAGCAAAAGGTAAAAATTGCACAATAAAGTCCCCAACAAAATCGAGGTTATTACATCTTCCCCTACCAAAAAAGTTTCAAAAATCGACTTTCCGGGCTTGGAAATCAAGCACTTTTCTTTACTTCAGCAGCCTTGATGATGTCAATGAATTCGGGCTATAGAGAGGGCGAAGAAAATACAGAAAGTTTTAGCCTCAGTGTTATTCAGAGAGTCGGAAAATAAAAAGGCCAATAAAAGAAGAGCCATAAAATAATTACCTTAAGAGAAGCACCGCCAACTAGGAAACCGTCAACATCAGGTTGCCCACCCAATTCCTTGCAGTTGCCACCATTCACAGATCCTGCAAAAAATTTATCAAATAAGAATTCTGGACTTGCGACTGACTGTATGAGATGAGAGTTTAAGTTCTTATATGGGGTTGTTCAATAAGTTTATCAAGCAAAATAACGGAGGAAGTGGAAAATTTTTAGATTGTAAAAAAATTTAAAACAATATGCTAATAGATTAAATCGAGCTAAGTATTAAATTTCAGGGGTTTTGGATGCATGTGTGCTGCAGAATTTAGCCAAAATGTGGATTTTTTTTTTACCTCCGTAGATAATCCTGGTTGAAGCAGCAACTTCAGAGCTTACATTTGTCTCAAGCCATTTCCTCAATTCAAGGTGTACCTATGACAAGACAAGTTTATGCGGTGTTAGATTTGCAAAAGGCTGTGTTGCCAAATATATTCATGCCATTTTCACTTTGAGAAATGGAAAACACAATTTTCAACCAGAGAGAGAGAGATCTAGAGAGAGAGAGATGGTACTACATGAGCTAAGAAGTTGGAGGTATACTTACTTCTTGAGCCTGAGCAGGACTGGCGACCTTCCCAGTTCCAATAGCCCAGACAGGTTCGTAAGCCAAGACAACATTTGTCCAATCAGAAACCTTTTCTGTAATGTAACAGCACATTGATATTTATGATCAGTTAGTGAAAGGAGGAAGGACAAACTACATTGTGCAACTACAAAAGCCTCGATTATAAAATATTTATAGAAACTGCAACAAAAATGCACAATAATCCAAAATACGAAGTTTCAACATTCTAATGTTGATAGGAAATTTATGTTTCATCAGAACAGATGGAATCCGTTGCATAGTTATTAATATTTTTTTATATTTAATGTTGTTTTCATAAGAAGCAACTTTTTTAGGGAACTTAGAGACGGAGTAGATATAACAAGGGAAGAAATATCTCTTTAACAGTTAAAGAACTGAATTGATGTATTTCAGTTACCAGGAAGTAGGAACACCAAGCTTGTTATTAAGAATTATTTAAAATTTAAAATGAGTTCAATATGAAACAAAATGCTAGTATCTCATGAACTGATTGATTGTTCAATTAAATTTATTCTGGTAAGGACTGCATACTTAATTATTTCAACATATAACTATATCTATCGCTGATAGCTTCAGTAATTAGTACCTGCGATGGCCTTGGTTTGTGCAGCAACGACTGCCACAGTTGATCCAGATTCCCTCTGTTCAAGAGTCTCTCCAATACAAGCAATTACCTTCAAACCTTGGGCAAGTGCATAAGCAACTTTATCTCCAACAAACTGGAATTAGTGAAGCAGAACCACAACAAAACAGATGTAAGAAACATTTCAACACAACAGCAGATGCGTACCATTTCAAAGTAAAAAAAAAAAAAGATCACTGAATTTTACCTCATTCGATTCATTCAACAGAGCCCTTCTTTCGGAGTGACCAAGAATAACCCAGGGAATGTCCAGGTTGACAAGCATCTCAGCACTACATCAAAAGACAAGTCAACTCATTAATTCTCTATATTATTAAACTGGGCTACGAGCAATATCCTTTCACCGAAATACAAGAATTTATTAGCTTTATTGTAGGACATAAGCATGGATGTTAACAAGACAATGAATCCTACTGTCCGTCCTTTTATCATAACTTACATATGAACACTTGAATTTGCTAATAAATGTAAGAATAAAATGTGCCCGATATCTTACCTAACCTCACCGGTGTAAGCACCACCCTTCTTAACCCAACAATTTTGAGCTGCAACATGGAAATCGGGCCGCAGAGAACTTTTTACCACAGGTAGAAACACGTATGGAGGGCTGACAACAACCTCTGCAAGACAGAGTCAAGGTAATCAAACAATTATATTATAAGAAATTAGACTTCCACGGATCAGACATATATACAATGGGAAAACCCAAAGAGAAGTTTTAGTTATTTTCCCTACAAAATTGGTAATATAAATAAGTACAAAGACAGACACTCAGTTTCCGCCACTCCCATACTAGAGCCATAGTTGCAAGCAAATATCAGTGTGTTCTACTTTAAGCAATAAAAGTATTTCCATGATCTTTACTATAGATTTGAAGAAGATGCATATTATATTTTAACAAATTGTAGAATTCTCAGGCTAAACCCTCTAACTTCATATATTTCTTAATAATTTTCAGATGTAAACAGGAGTCGTGGGTATGAATTTCTGAACACTTTTACACCAGAATTTAAATCTGAAGGATCAAAGTAAATTCAAAATAAGCAGAATGTACTAAGATTTTTCCAATTTGCTTCAAGACGAAGGAAGAAGAACGTATGATGCCGTATGGGCAAAACAAAGAAACTAGCAGGTTGTTCTTATCCATACAGATTAGAGAAGATATATTTTTCGTACATATCCACATACAAATTCTGCAAGGAAAAATCAGTCAACACCAATGATAATTTCACATCTTTTTCATCTTGGATAAACCTCCCATTTTGAATCCAAAAAAAAAAAAGCATTTGATTGAGTAAGGCATGTATATACTCACCGACAACATCTTGCGATGGTACTTCAGCCGCATTAAGCATGGACACGATCTTCTTCACTTCGTCGTTAGTCCCATTCTAGAAAAAAAAAATGGAACATTTCAATGACAAGAAACACGCTCACATACGGGTAACATCTGGTAATTAAACAAACAATCTACTACAAAATCATAACAAAACAGAAAGGCATACACTATTGGTGGTCCGTGCATACTACAATGAACACTTACAACAAAAGTATATCCCAAAAGAGAACACGGTAAAAGGTAAGAGGAAGTCGAGGCCTTACACTAACTAAACTCCAAACTGTAACTATCTGCCTTCATATGATAAATTAACAGATGCATAAATAACAAATCTAGCAATTATCGTGCTATATTCGATACCGATACCAAAACATCCCATCGAAAAAGTAAGCAGTTGTTCAAATACATAGAATCGAGCTTCAGAACGGCTATTGTAAACGAATCATTTTAGATCTGAACACAAGTATTTCTAATTTCATTTTCCAGACCTAAATTTCTGCCAAACAGTTTGCTACCAGATCAAATACAATCAACTACCGCTGCAGAAAGATTACTCACTAAGATTCGTAAACAATGAAATCAAAACAAAGAAGATATAGATCTGCAATAATACTTCATGAAACAATGCTAAATCTACCGAAAAATAACAGTAAATATAGAATCAGATCGGACGAGATCGGTGAAAGAAAAACAATAAGAGCGATTATTCTATGGGAATCGGAAACTCACGCATTTCCAGTTGCCGCCGACGAAGAATTTTCTGCCCATTTTTTTTTTTCTGCTAGCGAACGATGATCACGAGAAAGGTTTGATTCTGCTTTTGTAATATGATAATGGCTGCGAGAGAGTGGAGTGATGTTTGTGCGTAGATATCAACGATTATATATATATGTGGAAGAAAAACAAATCGTTAATTGCGGATCACGGAATTTGATTGGTCTATAATGCCCTTGAGGCTTATTGGTAACGGAATATCTCATCTAGAGTTAACGGACGTTTCTTGGCTGACGGAATATTTCAAGGGCACGCGCGGGTGGTATTTGGCTAAAATAATAGTAAAGAGACCTTTGTGCAAATCTGAACATTGCCGCACTGGATTGTGTCGTTTTGATCAATTATTAGTATTAAAAAATTATTACTGAAATAAAATAAAATATAATAACAATACAAAAGTTAAGAATAAGGTGTAAATACTAAATACCAATGTTATCATAACCAGACCGGCTATAGAACCGGACGACAATTTGGGTCATGGGTTTTTATGGTCGAACCGGTTCAACCGGGTTTTTGATTTTTCCTAATATGTCATTATTTTATTAATTTTAATATTTTAAAAATATTATTTTCTTTATATTTTTAAGGGTAAATTCCACTTTACCCCCTTGTACTCTGCACAATAACCACTTTACCCCCTCGTACTCTTAACTTCGTCGATTTACCCCCTTGTACTTGTACAATTTCCCAATATAACAACCCTCTTTGTCAACTTTTTTCGATTCTGACTCTAACGCCATTTGGTCAAGAGTCAAAATATTGACGTAAATATTGAATTTTTTCGATTTTGACTCTCAAGATTAGAAAAGAGAAAGTTTCACACATTCATATATTTTTTTTCTTTGCACTGGGTGGAATCGATCAATTTTTTGGTCTTGATTTTTACTAAGTTAGGTGTTCAATTTGGGGATATCTTGGAAGGGGAAGTGGTTGGAGAAGAAGAAATGACAATATTGACGGAGGAGAAACGACGCGTTATAGGCAGTGGCAATTTTGTAATTTACAGAGTTGACCAAACGACATCAGAGTCAAAATTGATAAAAATTGAAGAAAATGGATGTATTGGGAATTTGTACAAGTACAAGGGGGTAAATCGGTGAAATTGAGAGTACGAGGGGGTAAAGTGATTCTCAGACATAGTACGAGGAGAAAAAGTGGAATTTACCTTAATCTTATTTTGTCTAATTTTGTGTGTATGTATGCGTGTAGTCACTTCACCAAATATAGGAATGTCGCTTAGAGTTGAAGTTTCCCTCAACACATTATTCAAATATGTATATAATCATTCTAAGTCTGTGATGAATAAAAGATAGGGTGTTTCTACCATGAGATCATGTGTTCTAAACTTATATGAGATACCCCCTTCAAATTTTTTCCTCATTTATGTATTGTCGCAAATACCCTTTGTATAATAATTATTTTAAAAAAAATCGGCAATTATAAATTATTATTGAAATGTCAATTTTATCCTCTCTATTTTAATGCAATTTTAAATCTATATTTATTGCTGAATTAAAATTTATAAGGTCAATTATATCATTATTCATAAAAATTATTAAACCACCCATCCAAAATTGCATCAATCTGAATTCGAACTTGTGACCATCTAAAAATATACGAGAATACTTACCATTAAGACACAACACATAATTGACAATAAACTAACAATATTGATATATATCACAAAGCTATAATTTATAATGGTTATAAAACTTATATAAATAATGTTAAATAAATTATTCATTCTCATATAATTATTATTATATATTAAAAATATCCCATACTAACAAATCTTTATATAATATAATTTAAAAATCTAAGGAAATGCTGATCAACTCCTGTAATTTAAAAATGAATTTCGAAATAATTTGAAGTTTGAATTGAATCGTAAATTGTAAGATTTAATTAAATCGTAATATTCGAATCAATTAAACTCACGTGTTTTCAATTCAAAAATAATATTCAAAAATTTGATCGATTAAGCTCAACTCATTTCAATTCGTAGACAATATTCAAATATTTGAATCGGTTAAACTCAATAATTTACAATAGCGTATTAATCAAACTATGTATAGTTAAAGTTTAGTATCTTTTTTTATTGAATTTTATCATAAAAATAATAAAATTTAATTCGTAAATATCGTAAGATTTAATCGGTTCATGGTTAGGTTAAATCTTACGATTTACGATTTGATTCTTACGATTTTACGAATTAAATTATTATTTTTTTGTTAAAATTGAATTAAAAGGATAGCAGACTTTAGTTATAAATAGTTAACTCGATTAATACGTTCTTGTCAGTGGTTGAACTTAATCGATTCAAATTTTCGAATAATATTTACAAATTAAAATAATTTGCGCTTAATTGATTCAAATCATACGCTTTAATTAATCTTATGATTTGATTCTTACGTAATTTAGGAATTTTTTTATGATAAAATTGAATTAAAAATGTATTACACTTTAATTAGTTAATAATAATTAATTTGATTAAGACGTTCTTGTCAATAGTTGAGCGCGCTAATTAATCGATTCAAATATTTGAATAATGTTAACAAATTGAAAGGACTTGAGCCTAATTGGTTCAAATATTACGCTTTGATAAAATATTACGATTTACGATTAGGTATTAAATTTATTATTTTTTATGACAAAATTGAATTAAAAAGATATTAGACATTACTTATAAATAGTTAAATCAATTATGTAACACGTTATGTCAATACTTAAGCAACCGATTCAAATATTTGAATAATGTTTACTAATTGAAAGGATTTGAACTTAATCGATTCAAATCTTACTATTTAATTAAATTAAATATTAAAAGAAAATTCACAATATAGTATTTGTAGTATATAACTTTATTTTAAAGTAAGAAAACTATTAATTGGAATTAGTTATAATTTTTTCTTCTTCTAAATAAACATATTATTTTATTTTTTATTTGGATTTGTCACACTATCGATTTAATAACATAAGTGAGTTTGAATTAAGTTATGCATTTTTTTTATATTTAATTAAGCATTCTTTACATTTTTAAATGGTGAAGTTTATTAATAATTCTAATATTATATAATTAATGATAGATGTTTACATTTTTAAATGGTGAAGTTTATTAATAATTCTAATATTATATAATTAATGATAGATGTTTGGCGTATCGAACTGCAATTCTTTATATTTTTCAAATTTTATTATATTAAATTTGTTAATAATTTATTTAATATCATTTAATAATAATGAATGTTGCAATTAATATTTCAATTAACAGCATTTATACAATTATGGTTAAATATATCATAATAAGTTAATATTGTGCTTGGATCGTTAGGACTTAGGAGTGATGAGTGATTTAAGATGTAGCAAGTTCTATCCCTAATGAATGCATTTTTTTCGATTATTTATCAAATAAAACTCGGTCACACTGAATTTAAATTAATTATTTAATTAAAATATAGTAGGGGTAAATTAGACAATTCAATGTTAAACAATTTTATATTAATTTAATAAAAAAATAATCGAAGGATAATTTGGTAAAGTACTTCATTTTTCAGAACATAGACATTGTTATTTTCCTAGGGTCCAGATTTAATCTTAGAAAATAAATGGTAATTAATACATATCTCATATAAGTTTAGAACACAGGTTGTCTCACCATAGAAATACCCTAAAAGATAAGCCATTACACACAATCTTTAGGGTGTTTCTACCATGAGATCATGTGTTCTAAACTTTTACGAGATACACCATTTAAATTGCGCACGTGTCCCAGCAAAAAAACCTATTTTTTCTCCATTTATGTATTGTCGCAAATACCCTTTTTACAATTATTATTTTAAAAAATCAGCAATTATAAATTATTAATGAAATGCCAATTTTACCCTCTCTATTTTAATGCAATTTTAAATATATATTTATTGCTGAATTAAAATTTATAACGTCAATTATATCATTATTCGTAAAAATTATTAAACCACCCATCCAAAATTACATCAACCTGAATTCGAACTTGTGACCATCTGAAAACATACAAGAATACTTAACATTAAGACACAATACATAATTGACAATAAACTAACAATACAGATATATATCACAAAGATACAATTTATAATCGTTATAAAACTTATATAAATAATGTTAAATAAATTATAATTCTCATATAATTATTATTATTATATATTAAAAATATCCCATACTAACAAATCTTTATATAATATAATTTGAAAATCTAAGGACATGTTGTTCAACTCGTGTAATTTAAAAATGAATTTCGAAAGAATTTGAAGTTTGAATTGAATCGTAAATTGTAAGATTTAATTAAATCGTAATATTTGAATCAATTGAACTCATGAGTTTTCAATTCAAAAACAATATTCAAAGATTTGATCAATTAAGCTCAACTCATTTCAATTCGTAAACAATATTCAAATATTTGAATCGGTTAAACTCAATAATTTACAATAGCGTATTAATCAATCTGTGTATAGTTAAAGTTTAGTAACCTTTTTTTTATTGAATTTTATCATAAAAAATAATAAAATTTAATTCGTAAAAATCGTAAGATTTAATCGGTTCATGGTTAGATTAAATCTTACGATTTACGATCTAACTCTTACGATTTTACGAATTAAATTATTATTTTGTTGTTAAAATTGAATTAAAATGATAGTAGACTTTAATTATAAATAGTTAACTCGATTAATACGTTCTTGTTAGTGGTTGAACTTAATCGATTCAAATTTTTGAATAATATTTACAAATTAAAAGGATTTGCGCTTAATTGATTCAAATAATACGCTTTAATTAATCTTATGATTTGATTCTTGCGTAATTTATGAATTATTTTTTTATGATAAAATTGAATTAAAAATGTATTACACTTTAAGTAATAATAGTTCATTTGATTAAGACGTTCTTGTCAATAGTTGAGCGCGCTAATGAATCGATTCAAATATTTGAATAATGGTTATGAATTGAAAGGACTTGAGCTTAATTGGTTCAAATATTACGCTTTGATAAAATATTATGATTTACGATTAGGTTCTTACATGTGTTAGGAATTAAATTTATTATTTTTTATGACAAAATTGAATTAAAAAGATATTAGACATTACTTATAAATAGTTAAATCAATTATGTAACATGTTATGTCAATAGTTAAGAAACCGATTCAAATATTTGAATAATGTTTACTAATTGAAAGGATTTGTACTTCATCGATTCAAATCTTACTAATTAATTAAATTAAATATTAAAGAAAATTCCCAAGATAGTATTTGTAGTATATAATTTTATTTTAAAGTAAGAAAACTACTAATTGGAATGAGTTATAATTTTTTCTTCTTCTTAATATATATATATATTATTTTATTTTTTATTTGGATTTGTGACACTATCGATTAAATAACATAAGTGAGTTTGAATTAAGTTATGCATTTTTTTATATTTAATTGAGCATTCTTTACATTTTTAAATGGTGGAGTTTATTAATACTTCTAATATTATATAATTAATGATAGATGTTTGGCGTATTGAACTGCAATTCTTTATATTTTTCAAACTTTATTTTATTAAATTTGTTAATAATTTATTTAATACCATTTAAAAATAATGAATGTTGCAATTAATATTTGAATTAACAGTATTTATACAATTATGGTTAAATATATCATAATAAGTTAATGTGCTTGGATGGTTAGGACTGATAAATGTATTAAGAGGTCACATGTTCTATTCCTAATGAATGCATTTTTTTCGATTATTTATCAAATAAAACTCGGTCACAATGAATTTAAATTAATTATTTAATTAAAATATAGTAGGGGGTAAATTAGACAATTCAATGTTAATCAATTTTATATTAATTTTAATAAAAAAATAATCGAAGGATAATTTGGTAAAGTACTTCATTTTTTAGAACATAAACCATGTTATTTTCCTACGGTTCAGATTTAATTTTAGAAAATTAGTAGTAACTAATGCATATCTCAAATAAGTTTAGAACATGGGTGGTCTCTCCCTAGAAAGACCCCAATCTTTATACGGTGATGATTAAAAGATAAGTCATTACACAAATAAGTCATTACACACAATCTTTGTACGGAGGAGAATTACCAACGCCATCTATAAAACACACAGCTTGGACCAAGTCAAACCGAATCCTTGCATAACCATTATTTCCCCATTGCCCCCCACGAATTCCTAATATGCAAATAATCATTTTTGTGCTTGTCCACACCATACCCGATTACCATTACATTATGTTCTCCCCTATAACAGCCGCTATTTTTTCCATAAATTTTCTGTAAAAAAAAAAAAAAAAAAAGAACTCGTTAATTAATTATATCTCGATTACTATTACTATTACAAAAATTATATATATATATAAAAAAAAAGTGATCCAAATATTTTTTGCCTAACTTCATGGAGCTCTCGTAGACTGAAATTCGACCAATAATTGGAGTTTGAAATAAATAAATAAATAATAAGAGCCAGACTGATCAATATTAAATATTTTTTAACAAACTTACGAGCGGGGTTCGTTGTCCTCTTGTCTTCGTGCCTCGTATCTGTAGTGGCTCGCCAACGTAACGCCGTATTTCTCGACATAGTCGAGCCCGATTTCAGCGCTAATAAGATATACGCCTCAGCTATCCGGTGGGGCAAACATCGCCTCCGGATATTTCTTTGGCACATTGTCGATCAATTCTTGAACTGAAACCTCGAAATCCACAATCGACGGTTCACAATCTTTGAGTTTTTGACTCACAAGACCAGCGACGGCCATACTGGCACAACATGCTACGTAACGTACATACATAAAATGATAAAATTAATTTAATCAATAATTATAAATATATAATGAAATAAATAAAATTTATTTTTTTATTTTATCAAGATTTAATTAAGCTAATAATGGGTCGTACCGGCTCCGGTTTGTGGTCTAACCGGAAAATTAAGGCTCGGTAATTAAGCCTCGCGAGCTAAAATGCATCGGTGGTATATTCTTCATCGTCATTATATTATATGGTGCCTGTATATATATACACACAAAATGATTATGTAAATATATGTATATAAACACGTGTACGTACATGATGATGCTAAAGTTAGATCACCTTAGATAGTTGAAGTAGGATGAGCTGGAAGAGCAGAGTGGATCACTGGCTCACGAGCTTGATGACCTTGAGATACCTGCGATCACAGAACACGTAAACTAGGCCGGGGGTTGATCCGGCGGAAACCCCTCTGACGCTCAAGTGAGACGTGCTGATAGTAGGGGTGTAAACGAGCCGAGCTCGCCTCTTTTGGCTGGCTCGAGCTCGAGCTCGAGTTTATTTTGTCGAGCTCGAGCTCGAGCTCGAGCTCGCGAGCTCCTCTGTTTTTGGCTCGAGCTCGAGCTCGTGTCAATTTTTGTCGAGCTCGAGCCCGAGCTCGAGCTCGTGTCAATTTTGTCGAGCTCGAGCCCATTGTCTTTTTTTTTTTTTTTTTTTTTTAAATATTTTTTTAATTATTATTTTATTATTAAAAATTATTTAAAAAATAAAAAATAAAAACAAAATTGTAATTATATATATTTTTAATATTTGTATTTATTTCTATAATATTTTACATTATTATACATTATTTAAATAAAAATAACATATAAAAAAAAATAAAAAATAAAAATAATTATAAATCCGGCTCGCGAGCTCATGAACAACTCAAAACCGGCTCGAGCTCGGCTCGTCAGAAAGCTCGAGCTCGAAAATCTCGAGTCCGAGTTCGAGCTTTTTACGAGCCGGCTCTTCGAGCTCACGAGTCGGCTCGGCTCGTTTACACCCCTAGCTGATAGTATAAAATGGTCTGGAGAATACATGTTGTAGTATTGCTCAATTAATAGAACGTACCTGAAAGAATGAGTTCAAATATTTATTTATAGCTTAGTTGAGATTATCGGGCCCAAACCTTACTTAAAGGTGATTGGGCCTCAGTAATAGTGACCTTCGATATTGGGCTCGTGGCCCAGTAGATAAATAATTTGTAGGCACATTGAATTGGACCAATTAAGGATATCAGTACAGTCAAGAAACAATCCTAAAGAAATAAAGATGGAGGACATATCGAAGTTTTATATAATTGCTTGTGATATATATAAGAATATCAGCTTGTGTTTTTTTTTTTTATATGAAGAAAACGTACCCGAGAGAAAGATTGTAGATGTGTGTATATATATATATATATATATATATATATATATATATATATATATATATATATATATATATATATATAAATGAGAAGAAACAGAAAAGTTGGCCGTAAGTAAACATTTATACATTTTGGGCAAATTAGTGCAATTCCCTTAGGTATGGACAAATTACGAAAAAATCTGTATTGTTTCGGTAATTATAGCCACCGCTTCTTTTAATATTTTTACATAAAATTTATGTAATTCGATAATTTATCGAACCAAGTCTTGTATTTAGTTCATGGTAAACAGTATGAAATGTTGGCGTACCGAAATTTCGGTTCAGATTTACCGAATTAACATCCCTAAATTTACCTCTTGAGGGGTCTTTTCATAAGATAATACATAGTTGATGGGGGTGGTTGTCATTACCCAAACAAGAGGGGGGTTTCGTAATTCTAACTCAGGGACGTGTCCGTAATTTGCCCATATATTTTTAGTAGTATTAAAAAGAATTCAATTATACCAAAAACACATAGAACCTCGATAAATTAATACCCGATAAATTAATAACCTCGATTAAATAACATTTTTTTCCGGTCCCGACTCGGGACAACGTGCTAAATTAATAATTCTCTAAATTTATAAGTCAATACACATTCCAAAATTTTAAGAAGCCCCATATGATATATAAATTAATAATGCATTAAAATAATTCTTAAATTACATGGTATATTACATACTTTATAAATCTACGAATGCTTAATAAAAGATAATTTAATTATAGTTTGTTTCTTGTTGAAATTCACATTACATCAATCTTATCCCTTATTTTTGTTAACTTGATTAGAACTTCTGGTATTGTTTTCTCATAAGTTAACAGAAAAATGTTCAATATCATCGTTGATTTAAGAGCTTTCGTTCGTAAAACGGACTCTATAGTGCATAGAACTAACGGTAAAATGAATAATATACACGTAAAAAAAGTAAAAATAAAATGTATTTATTGAAAATAATAATAAAAATAATTTCATAAATTAATAAGTTATTAATTAAAGTATAAATTAATAATTATTAATCTATTGATAAGTTAATATTTCGCTAAATTAATGAAATTTTAATAGTTATTAATTTATAGAAGTTCAACTATATTTGTTTCTTTTAATGAAATTTTAATAGTTATTAATTTATAGAAGTTCAACTATATTTGTTTTTTCTTGTTCTTGGATTTTTTTTCCTCGAACGGCTTAATATTACTTACTTGGACTATAATTGCTTGTGATATATTTCTCACTTTTTAAACTTCCAAGTTAAATGTGTTTCACAAGACAATTCACATCTTTGATACATGCTGAATCCAGTCCACACATCAACTCTAATTTTACATGTGTTTGTAGCATAGACAGTACCACCTAAGTTTAGAGAATTTACTCAACAACAAATTAAGTTGAAAAACGAAATACATTACAATGAACTCCTACGACAAAAATACACTCGAGGAGCTCAAAATCATAACTTAAATTCTACAAACCGGTAATTGTTCGTGAGAAACCCACACATCATTCAATCTTGAATAATTGCTTCAAATCTATTTTTTCGGAGAATCATCAGATCTTAACTCCCTCTCGAGCTCGTCGAATTCCCACCCACCAATTTCTTCCGTAGAGTAATCCTGATTTATGTTACCGAATTCCGACTCCAGTTTTGCCAATTCTGCTTCGGGGTCCAGCATCTGCTCCGACTTAATTGTGATTGGCTTAGGGTCGTCAACTTTCCCAGCGATAAGTTTCTTTTCTGATTGTTCCGTGGAGGAATTTGTAACACTGTCCTGTGACTTTTCACCGGAAGACGACTCTATCTCTTTAGAGGGATTCTCCATTTCTAAAGTTGGTCTCTCGATGGATTCGAATTCTGCTCTTAGCTTCTCGATATTGTCGAATAGCTCTTTGACCTTCTGATTCTCTTTACTGAATGGACGTAATCCAGGTATTAATTAATATTTATAGTGCATTTAATACGAGTGTCTCGATAAAAAACCTATACGAAAAAATACAAAATCGGTTTGAGCAGTCAGACCTGGAGATTTTTCCTTGTTGGGTATAGAATTGCTCTCTCATGTTGTCCACTACGCTGAAAGTTGTTATTATCTGAGACGGAAAGAAAACAAAAAAAGAATTAATATAAATTTTCTTACACGTCTGATATCTCATGACTTGTGCCTACTCTTGGTGTTCCTAATCTTGATTACGAAGATACAAAGCGCAATAAACTTCAGTGGAAATTACTTCTGCATTTGTACGTTGGCAAAAAGGTCTACTCATATCACCAAGTTACTTGTGTTTACCTTAGCTTCATAATCCAAGTATTCCTCCTCAAGATTGCTCCTTGGGTTCAACAATTCGGAATCAACAATTTCCACTTCAGAAGTCAGTGCTAACCTGACAAGAATTTGAATACATAAAAACATGCAGACCAATTAAGGAATATCCACATTTTTTTGCAAATATAATTCAACCCAAAATACCCTTCACTTAAGCTCTTTAAGTTCTTCACGTACTTTTCAATGCGATCAATAGAAGGTCTCAGTTGTTTCTGCATCAAAATGAGAGAGATAGAAAGAAGATATCGTTCAAAAGTCTCTTAAGAACTAAAAGGGGGTTCTGCTTCAGTGTCAATGCGATTAAAAAAAAAAAAAAAAAACTACGAAGCACCTCATAAGAAGATAGCAGCTGTATAACCAAGTCTGTGAAGTAACCTTCATGTTTCTCCAGTTCGACACTTCCAAAAGAAAGTAGATAATTAGCAGAAATATAAAGTTCGATTTTCTAATTGATATGATAAAGCTCATAAATTGAAGGTAGTAAAGTAAAATCACAAGCAGTTAAGTGTAGAAACCCAAATAACATATTTAAGATTAGAGATTTCCTCTCTCAAAGCAGATGATATCGAAGTTCATAAACATACATTGTTTCCTTTTCCTTAGTCTCGACATATGAACAATGAAGAGACCAAGTATCTTCCAAGAAATTGATCCACGTGCCAAGAACATCAACTTCTGCTCGACATGAATCAATTGATTTTGTTAGCTCGTCCTCCTACATAGTTAGATGCAGCCAAATAATGTATAAGGCAACTTATAAACCCCATAGGCGACCTAAGTAAATTGGTAATACTGAGGGAAACGCATTCATCAAGGAAAAAGTGTAGCGGACCTTAGTTTTCAAATGGGCAACAATTTGATCATTAGCTTCAAAGAACTGATCCCTCTCTTCCGTTGCATTGTGAAGACGAGCTTGAGCAGCAGACAAGGAGGTATTTACCTTTTTCATCAACAATGTTCCACGTAAATTATTCAAAATCAAAGGGTTCAACTATAAATAAATCAATCAAACTTAAATTATTCATATAGGAAGTAGAAATGGAAATGGTCGTCTCAGAAAGTTAAAGAGGATGAACACCTTTTTCAATTGAGCTTCAAGTTCCTCTTTCTGTTTCTGAAGCCCAGAAATCTCAGCTGCTAGATCCTGAAAATGAATAATTGAGCCGCAATGTATAATCACATCTAGCATGTGGCAAATTATGCAATTGACCATTACGTAATATAACCTTTTCTACGTCACTAATTTCACTGGATTTGCTCACGCGGAACTTTAATGCATCTTCTTTCTGAAGCCTGCCAAAGAATTAAGGAAAGTGATACATTTACGTAGGAGGATGCAGATGAGGTAAAAAGAGATAGAAAAGAAGATAATAGGAATAGAGACAGAGCATAGACTATTGCACAAGAATAACTTAGCATAGTTAAAAGCCTTTAAAAGTATCAAGGGCATGTATATAGCAAAAACTATTTGAATTTCTAAAAGAAAATAGAACACTTTTCAATGGTAGTTCGATACCTGTTATCAGAGATGCGCTTCTCAGCTTTCGAGGAGGAGCTTGCCAGAGATTCCGATAAGACTTTCAACTTATCAACCTAAAATGCTTAGAACACAATTTCAGACATATAGACTACTATGCCATTAGAATTTCTTAGACAACTTGAAGCATGTGCTATTAGAATTTTTCAGTTCACTCGTTTGGAGGTCATATCAAATCCAGAACAAAGGGAGGCAGCATCATACATGATTTCCCACAGAAGCAAAGAACACTAACTTTTTCATTAAAAACTACTAAAAGGGGAGATTTGAAGCTAGTAGGATAAAAAGAGCGGCCCCAAATTTGAAAGGACAATGTAGGGATACGGTTCTTATGGATACATGCAATCTAGAACTGAAAAAATATAGGGTATCTTGATGCGACATGAACTCCAAAAGGTGCCCAATTCATTGAATAACTGGATTTTAGTAATATAAACATCGTCATAACCGCAACAGAAAAATGTTGATATACCCTTTCAGAATAATGTCTCACGTAAATATAAACATGGATAAAACACAACACAAGGTCCCCAGGTATACCTTTTGCAAATGAATTTCAGCTGTGTCTCCATATTTAAGAGCTTTCTTTTTCAGAAGCAGCCCTTCTAATCTGGAACAAACTCTGATATGAGCAAGTGCCTCTTTAAGAGCCTAATGAAAGAGAAAAATAATAAGACATGATACATAATGAATTTCCAGTCCTTACAAACATTGTACTTCGCTGATAGATATTTTGGCATTGAGAGTTCGAATGCAGGGAACTTGGAATGCTTGCAGTTTTAAAGACTACTTGATGGTCTAATATAAAACTTTCCACAAATTTTACGATGTAATTGACTAATGAAATAACAAAAAACTGCCCAAAAAAACTATCAGAAAACAATGAAAGATCAGGTGGCTACAGTCAAGTTCACCTCTATTGTTGGAGCATTGCTCTGTATAATGTTTGCCTCATGACCATCAGTAACATGATCTTGTGATGCCCTTAATTCAAGTTGTTTCTTCAGTGTTGAAACTTCTGCATCAATTCTGTTTGTATCACAACACGAAAAGGTAAGAAAAACCTTGTTTTGCTATACGAAACCGCAACTTACTTTCCTTTAAATGAATGCATAATCTTCAAAAAGTTCAGCTAGAGATGTGCATGGAAACCATAAACCACAAGCTGCTCAAACTGGGACAAATTTTTCAATAATGTGGCATTTTGTATAAAATTGGTTTGATATTTCTTCATGTCAATCTCACATAAATACGAATTTCCCAAAACACAAGTCCGTCAATCTCAAATAGTTGATACTTTTCATATGTATTTTTCTTGTTTCTTTAGGGATTGAAGCCAAGCTTGAAAATTAACAGCTAAATGTGGCAGCACGTAGGTTTAACGTTTGGAATATATAGGCAAGTGCCATTCTCGTAGTTGACCACAACTTTTTAGCGATGTTCATTGCTTCATACAAGACGACACTAACAAACAGCCTTTAGCGTGACATGAAAGCTTTTACCATTTCTCTCATAAAAACATATGGGAAGAGTGATCATTAAATTATTTATCTACTTTTCATGTTTAGCAGGGTATAAAGATGGAAGAGGAACTAATAACCCACTTTATAGCACTCCACTTATCTCATGATTTTTCAAATTGCATGCATTCATTTCTATCAGAGAAACTACAGGAGACGGCTTTTTTTAACATATATCAACTTGAAAATGCTTCTTTTGAATTTCAAAAAATAAAAAGTACGGAATAAATATACTAAAAAATGGCAGCATAAGCAATACATTAAATTTTCCAAACTCACATCCTCCCATACAGTCATCCTTAAAATGGAAGAAAACAGAATAAAACAACCAAGATCCAAGTTCTACAGAGAAAATAATGTTAGTGAAAGATGTGATATCCATGTGAAAATATTGGTTGCTTAACTGTGAACTATCAAATATTATCTCCATCAGAGAGAACAAGTACATGCAGTAAACAGAAGAAATAGAACCAGCGAATCTGTAATACCTTTGAATTTCCGCATTAACTTTCAACCCCGTGATAGCTCCTTCAGCAAACTGAAGCAATTCTTCTCTCTTCACCTACAAAGCAACAAATTATCAGCTATTTTTGCAGCTCATATTTCAGATACATTGAATGCACTGTTAAAGGCTTAAATATTATGGATATTATATTGCTCCTTTTCTATCAAAAAAACTTAGATCTCTTTCTAGTGGTTTCCAATTAGAGCTTAGTGTATCCCAAACACTAAAATACTAGTAGCTCAATGCACTTATACTGTGTGAGAAGGATATCCTAGAGGTCGTACATCATCCAAGATTATTATTTTCAATGTGGGGAGTTAGGTTTCACGAATAGATAAAAGTTGGATTTCAACTTGTACCAGTACTTCCTCTTGGTAGCTGGAAAAAGCTTTTGCAAGATCCTGAATGCTGCTCACTATTGCATTATGCACTGCTTTTCCTCCCATGAGACAGACACTGCAGGTGCACAATTGTAATAGAAATATCAAGTACAATAGCATTTCACCTCATATGCTCCAATAATGGAGCAATAACCGAATCTCTAAGCTAGGGCCTAAAATTAAATTAGCTATAGAAGTGGAGTAACTTACCCAAACAGCTCGAGGAGCAAAGAAACTTCATCTTCGTTTGGGGCTTCGAGAATCTACACGAACAAAAGAAAAAACCAAATCTGGAATTAGAATGTGTATAATCCAGGATTAATCATTTTTTTAGTCAATTATGGTATTGTTAATTCGAGAATATAGCTCAAAAACATGATTACCCAAAAACGAAACTAGAAGGGTTTTCTCAATTGATAAATATCTTGGATACATGGCATAAACATTACAATAGACGAAAGCACTGATATATTACTAGTTCAACGAATGAAAGTCGAGACATCATTAAAAGTTCATGAAGTACACATAGACTCGATTTTAGACAATAATATTTGCCGATTTAGATATTAAAGCCAATAATACATACCATACATATGGATATTCCCTCCAAAGCCTGACTGTACAGAAAAACATCACGAAAAGTCAATGGCTCACCACCCATATCTGAATCATAGTACAACACCTGCCAATTTGAAAGAGATTACACAATATACTTAATTTGATCGATGAAAAAAAAATCAAACAACCAAATCAGAAATTTAATCATGAGTTTATGATTCATTTGGACAAACTTGACTGCACAATTACAAAGCCGATGGTCTTTATGTTTTATGTAAACAACTCATACATATCAAAACAGCTTCACACTCTCTGAATGTAGTGACATACTAGTTAAAAATATACCAGGAAGCATATCGATGCTAACTCATGCCCTTGACACATTCCTAATGACTCAAGGTGCAGAAGAAAAGTAGATTTGATTCACAGGACTTGTGCATAAAAAGTATGCCTCACCAGGATTTGAATCTCAAATCCTTTTTCATTCAAATCATGAATATTGTTTCTATTGTAAAGTTTCTGAGTGTGGCTGCTGCAAATTTTTTTCAGTGTGAAATTACACATGAAATCCTATTTTCAGGTACTGTAAAGTTTATAAGTATATGAGCTTCATTTTCAAAAGCATATAATTTGGCTATGAAGAGTATCTCAGTAGCCAAGTGAGTGAAAAGAGCAGGGTAAAGTTTAAAGGGTAGAAAAGCTGATTATGATTGCGCTTTAAGTACAAAACAAATTAAGGAGGTACAGCTATATAAATACAGAGCTAACCATTGACTGTCTTCTCGGGCTCTTTGGCTCGTCAAGAAGTTGATGCTTCTCATTGTTCGTACCTCTGTCTTCAAATGTAACACCAGAAGATTTTTCAATTTCTTTTAGAACAGCTAACCATCTTCTGATCAACTCAGCTCTCTCACGTCCCCTGCATGAAACAGAAGCCTCTTCCAACCTTTTTACAGTCTGCTTGAAGCTTTTAAAACTACGACTACCCTGACATTATTAAAACGGGGGTTTATTGACAGAGGAATAAATTGAAAACTGCAACACACGTAAAATAAGAGCCAACTATCAAAATAGATCATCTGTGTTTCCAGCATGCAACTAATTTCAGGTAGAGCATATCTTCTATTATGCATTTTCAGCTTCACATTTCTAGCTTAAGACATCCTATTTTTCTAATACCGAAAGAAGCCGGGATCAATATCTTCATAAGACATAAGAATGTACGCTCGTCTTAGCCCAGTGATTGATGTTCTGGAACTCCATACGCACGCAACAGTGATATCACAACGAACCATTTAAACAACTCCACAAACAATTAGACAACACTTCCTTTTTTTCTATCAACGTTCTCTGCTAATACATAATCATATAAAACATCGTCGTGAATAACACGTATCTAGGGATTAGATATAAATATATCACTTCAATACAAGTCCAGTTTACTGACAATACTGGTGAACAACCCCAACCAAGAAATCAAAATAATAAACTATTTCAACAATATTTAATTACTATGGAAGATCATTTTGACATGCATGGTCGCTACAGTGTGAAAATGGGTACTACGCATTATTTTATCCCAAAATATAAGTGACCTAAAATTTTCATTCAATTCAAGTTTGCAAAATCCCTAAATTAAGTAAAAATATACACTCAACAATCTTATCTTCAAAGTCAACCGAGAGAGAGAGAGAGAGAGAGAGTTTACAATGCGATCTTGGAAGAGCTTGGCGCCTTCAGCGACAGCTTGGCCGGCGTGTTGAACGACGGTGTCGGAGAAGTTCTTCACTGTACGGGTTATGTTGTTCTTGTTCCCCACCTCCACCGCCTTGTTCACCGCCGATCGCAGCCACGACATTATTTACAGCACTCAGTCTCGATAATTTCTTCTTCTGATTGTGTTCAATTCAATCTCTGGTTCTGATTATTTCTGGTGATTTTTGGTCTAGAGTTCATGTGGGATTTCTCCCAAAGCTTCACCGGGATGGCAAATTGACTGAATCCCCGTGATACGACTGCGTTTGGTTCAATGACTTTGATGTGCCCAATTAGGGATAGAAATTGGGATAGAATTCGATCAATTTTAGATTTTAGATTAGAGTGATTGATCTCATTTCAATTTTTAAACACGATTTCCAATTATAATTTCAATTTTTGGTTTCAATCGTAATTATACGTGAATATTATTTTTTTTTATTTTTTTTTTTTTTAAAAAGGGATCAATTTCGATTCGATTCGATTCTAGAAAACAGTATAATTTTTTTAATTACAAGCAAAATAGTAAAGCCTAAAATTGGTGTAATTTTTTTTAGTTATCTGATATATCTATTGGGCTGGTCCAATTAATCTATTATTTATTTATTTATTGGGCCACGGATCCAGTTCAGAAGTTATTACACTAAAGTTCAATCATCTTCGAATGAGGTTTGGCTCGATAAATTAATATCGACCCAATCAAGAAACTATAAATATAACTTAATCCATTAAATTAAGGTACCGTTGTTTTTACTTAAGCAATCTAGCTATTATAATATTCTCTCGAATATTTCACGAATCAAATATCTGACTTAAGCATCGACGAGGCTTCCGCCGTTCAACCATCGGCTTAGTTCGTTTACTTTCTATCACATGAATCTCGAGATTATTAATGTGTGTCAAGATTATCTAGCACGTGATAAGTAATTCGATTCATCTCTTCGACTATATTTATTGTACGTGATTAAAATGCATCATCATTATCCAATGAACTCCTAAAAGAACAAATAAAATGATTTATTATTTTTAAAACATCAAATACATAAATGAATTAGTATTAATGAGGTATATTACTAAATATAAACATAGCCGAGTGTCATGCTTTCAACAACAAAGAGAATAGTCTCATAAGAAATGATCTAACAGTTCGAGTAAGTGATGAGTGTTAATTGACCCAAATTCCAATCTCATTATTAACGGCCGCTAAGTTGAGTTTGTCAAAGATCAGCCTAGTGCAATTTACAGTGCACTTAATTATATAATCGGCTACGAGTTCCTTCATAACAAAACATTAAAAAAAATCAAATATGCTATTTTTTTCAATTACTCAAAAGTTTGGAGATGATTCAGTGAAAACAACCCAAAGTGATAGGTACATATATGAATTATTCCACTAATGCTGACATAAAAGTTAGATATTTCCCCTTTTTATACATACGCAAAGATTTAAAAGGAAATAAATGAAGATAGATTTAAATGAATTCTCTTTATTTTTTCCTTATTAAAGCAAAGCAGATATTCAATTCAAACAAATGACGGAAGAACTGTTACATTTTAGAACTAACTATAACAAAAATTCTTACAAATTTGGGTTGTACAAACAGTAGATCACCTTCCACACCTAATTTTATTGCACAGTGTACCGTTGAAAAATAACATCCATCCACATCTATTTTAATTTATATATAATTAAATTAAATAACCAGACGTGTGGATAAAAGATTAGGAGATTTAGGTCACCTCTCACATCTTCTTCCATTTTGCATGCATCATCAATTAGTATATATTGGTACTCAAAATCGCTTTTCTGTAATTATAAGCCTTCATTCATTTTTTTTGCAAATAAAAGTGCTTTGCCAGCAAACACGCTTTTAGAAATATATATATTATTTTAATAAAAAGCGTTGTTTTAATTTGTTGTACAACTTCTCACCTACTTTTAACCAGCCGAAGTGTGTATGTATGCTGCTGCTTCTTCTTCGTCTTGATAAAAATTAAAATATAGTGAAGATACAGTTGAACAATAAATACATCGATCTGTGTGTAATCATATTTCGGATATTATTCAGCCATGTCGAGGGTGGAAGGTGGCAGTAATGCGTCATCATCTCCGCCGGTACGAGACAGCGTTCCGTTCTACGATCGGAGAGACGTGGCGGCGGTGGAGATGCTGAGCGGCGGCGGCGGGAACCATTTTTCAGCGACGCTTGGGCAGCTTCTGAAACGCGTTGGAGATGTGAGGAAGGAGGTCACCGGAGACGAGACTCCGGTGCATCAGGTGCTGGACGTGAACGACGGCGGCGGCGGAATCGGGAGCATGTCGCAGTCTCTCCCTTTTGTTCTGTCGTTCAGTAACATCACCTACAGCATCAAAGTCCGCCGGAAAGTTACTCCCCAGAGCCTGTTCCGCCGCCGCCCTACGGCGGCGGACCCAGTCTCCGGCGAAACGCTGTTTTCGGCGACGAAGACGATCCTGAACGATATCTCCGGCGAGGCGCGCGACGGCGAGATCATGGCGGTTATGGGAGCCTCCGGCTCGGGGAAGTCGACGCTGATCGACGCGCTGGCGAACCGGATGGCTAAGGGAAGCTTAAAAGGCGGCGTCACACTGAACGGCGAGCAGCTGGAATCCAGGTTGCTGAAGGTGATCTCCGCCTACGTAATGCAGGACGATCTCCTCTTCCCCATGCTCACCGTCGAAGAAACCCTAATGTTCGCGGCGGAGTTCCGCCTCCCTAGAACCCTATCCAAGTCCAAGAAGAAGCTCCGCGTCCAAGCCCTCATCGACCAGCTGGGCCTCCGAAACGCCGCCAACACCGTCATCGGCGACGAGGGCCACCGCGGTGTCTCCGGCGGAGAGCGGCGGCGCGTGTCCATCGGAACCGACATAATCCACGACCCGATCCTACTCTTCCTCGACGAACCGACCTCCGGCCTCGACTCCACCAGCGCGTACATGGTGGTGAAGGTTCTGCAGAGAATCGCGCAGAGCGGAAGCATCGTCATCATGTCGATCCACCAGCCGAGTTACCGGATACTCGGGTTACTGGACCGGATGATATTTCTGTCACGTGGCCAGACGGTTTACAGTGGGCCCCCCTCGAACCTGCCCGTTTATTTCTCCGACTTCGGCCACCCGATCCCGGACAACGAGAACAAAACCGAGTTCGCTCTCGATTTGATTCGCGAACTCGAAGGCTCACCCCGGCGGAACTAAAACCCTCGTCGAATTCAACAAATCATGGCAGCAGTCATTATATAATACTTACTACTACAACCCGACGACGACAAATAACTCCGACCAATCAGCGACGAACACGTCAAATCTGTCGCTAAAAGAAGCCATAAGCGCCAGCATTTCGAGAGGGAAGCTAGTCTCCGGCGCGACGACAAACAGCACCGCCGTCAATAGGCTAGTCCCCACATTCGCAAACCCTTCGTGGATCGAAATGGCCGTACTTTCGAAAAGATCCTTCACAAACTCAAGGCGGATGCCGGAGCTATTCGGCGTCCGCCTCGGCGCAGTCATGGTGACAGGCTTCATCCTGGCCACCATGTTCTGGCGGCTCGACAACTCCCCACGAGGTGTCCAGGAGCGGTTAGGGTTCTTCGCATTCGCCATGTCAACAACCTTCTACACGTGCGCCGACGCGCTGCCGGTGTTCCTCCAGGAGAGGTACGTCTTCATGAGGGAAACCGCGTACAACGCCTACAGAAGATCCTCCTACGTGGTGTCCCACTCGCTGGTGGCGCTGCCGTCGCTACTTTTTCTCTCTCTAGCTTTCGCCGCCACCACTTTCTGGGCTGTGGGACTCGACGGAGGATTCTTCTTCTACTTCCTCATCATCTTCGCCTCCTTCTGGGCGGGGAGCTCGTTCGTCACGTTCCTCTCCGGGGTGGTGCCGCACGTGATGCTGGGGTACACGATCGTGGTGGCGATCCTGGCCTACTTTCTGCTCTTCAGTGGGTTCTTCATCAACCGGGACAGGATTCCGGCGTACTGGATATGGTTCCATTACTTGTCGCTGGTGAAGTACCCGTACGAGGCGGTGCTGCAGAACGAGTTCGAGGATCCGGTGAAGTGCTTCGTGCGTGGGATCCAGATATTCGACAACACGCCGCTCGGGTCGGTGCCGAACGCGCTGAAGGTGAAGCTTCTCGACGGGATGAGTAGCTCCTTGGGGTTGAAGATCACGAGCACCACGTGCGTCACCACCGGAGCGGATATACTGCAGCAGCAGGGGATTACTGACCTCACCAAGTGGAGCTGCTTGTGGGTTACGGTGGCGTGGGGGTTCTTGTTCAGGGTTCTTTTCTACTTGTCTCTTTTGGCCGGCAGCAAGAACAAGAGGAGCTAACCGCCGGCGCCGGCGGGGGTTTATTGCAGAAACATTACCACTGTTTTTTTTTTTCTTTTTTTTTTTTTAAGTTGTATTATCTGTATTATTAATATTGAATTGAATGGGATTTTGTTCTTAATCATATAAATATATATATAAATTTTTTTCTTGCCTCAATAATCAATATAAGTCAATGTGAATTTTCAATTTTGACTAAATGTGATTGATTTTTGTCTTGGTCTTTTTAATCAATTAATCATATTTTGTATTAGTTATATTAGATGGTATTGGGTTGATTGTCTATAAAAGCCGGCTTTTGAGATCCCACATCGGGTGAAATACACCGAGTAGATCTTTACCATTCATATACACACAAACACACACACCTATATTGATATGTGTAGATCAACGGTAAAAAATCATCCAGTGTAATCTTCACCGGGTGTAGAATAGATAAAACCATAAAAGCCTTAGGACATCTCCAACGTTGCCATCAAATGAGGCCCCAAATGAAATAACCGCCTGTTTGATGGCTGGAGTTCGAAAAAAAACATCCAAGGGAGCCATCAAACCAGACCCTATTTTGGGGCTCCCTTCCCTTTGCCATCAAATATGGGTCTGAAAATGGGGAGCTAAAATTTGAGGGAAAAAAAACTTTTATAGAGGCCCCAAAACACTGTATCATACCCAAAAATTAAATTAAAAAATATGACCCAATTTGGGGTTTTTGCACTGGAGTAAAAAACTTTTATAGAGGCCCCAAAACACTGTATCATACCCAAAAAGAGTGTTTGATGTCCCCTTTTTAAGGCCTTGCGTTGGAGATGCCCTTAGAAAGCCCATACAAGCATTGTTCAAATCGATGGGCCTATAGTTCTTTAGTACAAGCCCAAACTTTTATTTCATGGTGAATTTATACCGCCTATATCACTAAGGCATCGTTTGACTGGAGAGATTAACTATGATTAACTAAATAATTTGAACTTTATTTGATATTTGACATCCCAATAACTTGTCACATTGATTTGCAATTATTATGTTATCATATGCTTTAATGTTGCCTTCTATGAATGTTTTTTATCGAATTATCGAAGGTCCAATAATATAATTAAGTTTCATTAGATTATTTAATCTTATCTTGGCAACAAACGAGAATTCTTGAACACTGATTCGAACATGTTATTTAATTTAGTGTAAATTACAAAACTCCCCTGAACTTAGGCTAAATAACAAAAAACACCTCCACGTATCCATAATAACCAAAACCTCCTCTGATTAACTGTTGATCGAGTTTTTTAACAGAAAATGTGTACAAACTATTATACCTTTTATTAAATAGGTGAGAAATAAAATAAAGTATTTGAAATTGTGTAAATCAATTCCATGAAATAAAAAAAATCAGTGAAAAATCACATTGTAAGGGGTTGGTGTAAGACGAAAACAAACCTCAAGGGTTTTTTGATAATTACGAATAAGTAGGGGTATTTTTAGTTATTTATCATAAGTTCAGGGGGTTTTCGTAAATTACCCTTTAATTTATAGAATAATCAAAATTGAAAATTCTATGTCATAAATGATAAGACAGAACGTGGTTTGGGTGGTCCCCATTGAAAACTGAGTTTCAACAGTACAAACAATTGTGACTCAGTATAGTAAACTGAGCTTAGCTGTATATGAATTCCGCCATTACCAATTCTCTCTCAAATCTCTGTAAAAAAATGAATATTCCCTTTATGTCAAACCCTCAATCCTATCTCCTACTCGTTTTGCTTATTTTCTCGCAATCACAGATAATCCGCTGCCGGAATCTGGTCCTTAATCAACAACAACAACAATTTAATAACGGCGCCGGCGACGGCGATGATTCTCTCACATACATTTGGCCGTTGCCTAGGCAGCACACTTCCGGCAACCAAACCCTCACCGTTAACCCCAATCTCTCGCTCGTCACAAGCGGAAATGGCAGCAATTCTCTTATCGTTTCCGAAGCATTTGATAGATACAAAAAAATCATATTCAAACACACCAGCTCGAAGCTGCCCGGCACCGGAATTGACTACGATCTTAACAAGCTCAGCGTCGTTGTTCACTCAGACAACGAAGAGGTATAATTTTTGGAGTTTGTTAACCGTCGTGTTTCGTTTTTTTTTTTTTTTTTTATTTTTTTTTTCCTTATTTTTTGTTTGGATTTTGTAGCTCCAACTTGGAGTTGACGAGAGCTACACTTTGATGGTGGCTGCGACCGATAAGCTTTCGATAATTGGGGAAATCACAATTGAGGTGCATATATGTATATCAGTATATGTACATGTATATCTATTTTAAGATTGGCTTTATTGAATGTGTTTACTGTCTTATTGGATGGATGGATGGATGGATGGATGGGTTATTTTTTGCACTAGTTAATCTTCGATGCAATTAATTTGGGTAGATGCCTATCATGGAAAAATCGAGCACCCGATGCCATACAGTATCGGCTCAGTTCTATAGGTTGTAAGCATTGTAAGGATTTACAGGCAAATGTTAGATGTGATTTTCCAACATTACACTCGCCATATTGTTTAAAGATATACATATAGATGAAAATGTTCTTTGGGGGTTGAGATAACTTTTGAATGACAGAATACAGATCCTTCCTCGTGTTTTTTTTCGGGATGAGACTATGTGGTTTCATGATGTCTAATTTGATCATATTGTTAATGAGATATATAGATAGAACTATCCTTACAAATATTTCCTTGTGGTTGATCTTGGAAGTTCATGAGGAAGTTGGTCGGACCTTGTAGTCTTCGTGTTAACTAGCTTATGGTTCATGTTTTTAAATTCCATCTTATATAAATTTCACGTGTGCATTTTTGCATTTCAACCAACTACTAGTATAGTTGGAGAGTTGGGATATGACATCAACTTCTTGTTTACTTCGATGAAACTAAAGAAACTGACTGATTTTCATGGTTTTAAGTTTCATATTCGTATTATTTTTCCTTTTCCCAATATCAGTTTTTGCTAATCTTTGTTATTATGTCATATGCTGCAGGCAGATTCCGTCTACGGCGCTTTGCGTGGTCTAGAGGTACCTTAGATTATTTTAGATAAATGATTTTATAATATACAGCCAAAAATATGTGCAATAGATGTGTGCTTGTACAGGCTAGTGCTCAGTAATTTGCACATTCTTATGTCAAAGAATTACGTAAATATTCATATTGGGATCTTTTCAGTTCAAAATGAGGAATGCAATCATTGTCCTCTAAATTTTTTCTTCATTGTGCTTTTTGTTCAGACTCTAAGCCAGCTATGTGCTTTTGATTATGGAACCAAATCAGTAAAACTATACAATGCTCCATGGTACATCCAGGATAAGCCGAGATTCAAATATCGCGGGCTTATGCTTGGTAAGTAGAATGTTTTCGTGTCTGACACTCTATTTCTTTCAATTTGTTATCGTCCTATACAGGGTTTCTTGGAAACGAATTTCATTTTTGCATGTTTTTGCAGATACTTCGAGGCACTATTTACCAATGGAAATAATCAAGCAAGTTATAGAATCTATGTCATATGCTAAACTTGTAAGACATGTTAATTATTACGTCACTGCTCTTTATACAAATTTCCAGATTTAAAGTATTTTGTTGATTGCATTCAGTAGAATGTCCTCCACTGGCACATCATAGATGAAGAGTCATTTCCACTTGAAGTGCCAACATATCCAAATTTGTGGAAAGGCGCATACACGAAATGGGAGAGATATACCGTAGATGATGCTTCTGAAATTGTTAAGTAAGTTTCTCTTATAATTTTGTTACTTCATAGAAATTAAATTCTTCTGAGAATGACTAATGTCTAGGATGAAAGTAAGTTCCTTCTTAGAGCTTGCATTGATCCTAACTTTTTAGTATTAGTGTTGAACTGTTGATAATATTCAAGATATTAAATTGCTATGAGTTCTGGCTCATAAAATTTTCTGTTGCAAGTCCTGATGGACTTTCCAGCTGTTTAAAATAGCTAATGCAGGAATGATTATGTCGTTGATGTGATGGTTCTTTTGTCTTGACCCGACTCTACAAATTGTGATTTTAATTTTCCTTGTGACAGGATTAACCCATATTCTCTTGGTCTTTTCAATATTTTTTTTTCCACTACAAGAACTAATGATTTTGTTATTACTCTTTGTCTTCTCTATGTGGCCTGGCCTACACTGAAGTTTCGCAAAAATGAGAGGTATGTTCTCAGGATCGAGAAAATAAATATAATTTTCTCTAATATTTCATTCGGTTTCAGTTGGATGATTTGTAAATACTTTCATATACTATGGATATCAAACTCATTACACAAATATTAGATAAATTTCTATAACCATTAAGTGGATATGAAATCATCCAAAAATTTGGAGCCACTGTAATCCTCTCAATTACTGCAATAATTTATTTTGTTTCAAGACACTGATACTCTATCCTCTTATTTACGAGATCATTGGTCAACTTACATGCTTGAGTTTTTCTGGTGCAAGTTTTAGCCGTAAGGTAATTCAATCTGTTCTATTGCAGGTATTAATGTTATGGCAGAAGTTGACGTTCCTGGGCATGCAGAGTCATGGTAAAGCTTAAGAGCCAAAGATAATCTATTTCATATTCAAGTTTTGACCTTCATCTGAAACTGAAATTTCCTTTTTGCTTAGTATATTCTTATCAAGTTTCATATTGCAGTGCCTTTAGTTCTTACTGCGCGTTACTTCTGGCAAATGGTTCTTATGTTCATAAATCCTGCCGTCCTGTTTACCTCTTGAGGATAAAAGTTTTAATTGATAATTGGATGGCTGGTATTGTAATAAAAGTGACTCTAATCTCACGATAATAACCTGCATCTATTCTCTATGTCTATGAGTGATTCCCAGATCGAGCCCATCAGGTCATGTTTATGTATGTAAATGTTTATGTGCTGGAACTTATGCCCACTCCCACAATTCCTGGATGAGCGCTTTGACGAGGAATTAGAGCTTTTAGAATCCTGCTTCTGTTAGCTTTTTGATTTTCCAAATTATCTATGTGAGATGTTTTGCTTGTTCATTTTTGGAGTTCTCGTGTGTCAAAATCCCGAGTTTTTTCTTCAGGAAACTCATAAACTCGACCATGTTTTGATGATAGAATAATTATAAACTTCGAAAGCTTCACATTGCTCAATGGTCTTTTTATTGTTAATATACTGTAGATAGGCATTGACCATATTAATTCGAGGATGTTCTGGGTATCTTTACTCTCTGATTAATTAGACTTGGGGAACATGAGCTAATAGGTTCCATACAATGCCTATGTTTATTCAGAAATCAATTTAACTTATATGTGTGTTATGTGTGTGTTTGGAGTTCATGAAGACCTTCAACGTATACATTTTCAAAAGAGGCTTGTTTGTTTGCAGGGGAACAGGATATCCCGATCTTTGGCCGTCTGCTTCCTGCAAAGAGCCTCTGGACGTGTCTAAAAACTTTACATTTGATTTGATCTCTGGCATACTGTCAGGTCAGGATACGTTTATGATATACTTGCATTAATAAGTCTAAATTATGAGACGTAAACGTCCCTGTGCATACTCTCTGTGATCATGGAGTAATTTCCATTTGCAGATATGAGGAAGATTTTTCCGTTTGAACTTTTCCATTTAGGTGGTGATGAGGTTCATACAGGTCAAGCCATTCTTTTCCTTTGTTATCTTTTATCTTTTATCCAAAGTATCTCTAACTTAGAACTTTACGAGAGGAAAAGATAAAACGTATATCTTCTCTATTTGCTGCCTCTATCATGTGATATCCTTCTCACCCTGCTTATTTAAGATTCATGCAGATTGTTGGACATCAACTCCACATGTGAACCAATGGTAAATTTCCACCTAATTCTTTGGCGTTTTAGTAGCATACTATTTTCTTATGTTCTCGGGACCAGGAATTTGTATCACAATCTCTACACTTTAATGTACCTACCTTATGGTTACAAATTCAATATGCAGGCTTCAAGATCAAAATATGACGGGTAAAGATGCATACAAATATTTCGTACTCAGAGCTCAGGAAATAGCAGTAGCATTAAATTGGACTCCAGTTAACTGGTAAGTGTTCAATCTGTAGTTTTCATATAGAAATTTTAGTTAACTGGAGATGATTCTTCGTTAACTTCCCCCCTCCCCGACATTTTTCATTCCAAAGCTGAAGCTAATATTTTAAAATTGTAAAATCAAGCTAATGTAGAGCCTAAATAGTGCAAATAAGATAAATGCAAGGTTATGATAATTTCGTTGTTTTGCCAGGGAAGAAACCTTCAACAGCTTCCCAGAAAGTCTGAACAACGAGACTGTGGTGCATAACTGGTGAGTTTGTCTGGTTAAAACAAAGATATATATTGAACTGTGTCTGAAATAATAGTAACTTCCGAGGCATAAAGACCCTTTTCATGGTAAATATACAGGTTGGGATCTGGTGTTTGCCCAAAGGCAGTTGCAAAAGGTTTTAGATGCATATTTAGCAACCAAGGTGTATGGTATCTTGACCACTTGGATGTGCCTTGGGATTCAGTCTACTATGCCGATCCATTGGAAGGGATAACAGATTCTTCGGAACAAAAACTCGTGCTTGGTGGAGAAGTTTGCATGTGGGGTGAAACAGCCGATGCCTCGAATGTTCAGCAAACAATATGGCCTCGAGCAGCAGCGGCTGCAGGTATTTGTTAGTTTATTGATAATGAAATATGATAAATATTAGCATATATCGTTCGAACTTGATTTACGCTATCCTGAGAAAAACGATTGAAAAGTATATATCTCATATTAAAGCTAGCCACTATTAATTAATAGCGTAAAAACAAATTTTAAATCTTAGTTTTGCTGCTTGTTCGTGTAGAGCGCTTATGGAGCGAGGCGGATTCTGCATCGTCAAGAAACACAAGTGTTCTGCCAAGATTGGAGTATTTCCGTTGTCTTTTGACGAGGCGTGGAGTTCAAGCTGCCCCAGTTCAAAATTTCTATGCTCGATCTCCACCAACCGGCACAGGATCATGCTACTCCCAGTGAATTAAAGCAAGCTCATTATATTTGTGTTGGATTCGAACATATATATATTTCTGTAAGTAATCGATTAATTTCCATTTCTGTTACGTGTTATTGTATCGTCAATCACGACTGCCTCGAAGTAATATCGATTTTTCTAATGACGGTTGGTAAGAGTCAGGTATCTTAATCTATTATATGTTTTCTTCTTGAAGTTACAAGATACAACGAAATCCAGACAGATAGAAAATGTATAGTCAAATAGAAAATGTCCCAATCAGACTTTGGTTTATAAATTAGTCAACGGGCAGGCGAATAGGGGTCAACATGCAAGATACCCCCGACAGGTGAGAAAGACAACTGAGGATAATTAATCATCAGAAATCCAAACTTGGTCAAACTTTTTTAAGTATTTATTCAGAAGTCTTGATGCCATCCATGCAATTGAGGACAAACTGTTAAACCATTCACTATTTATTATTATTATTATCATTTTATAAAACCAGGGTTGATAAATTAGAAGCCTATACGTACAAGTAGTAGTATATATATGTATATCCTTCATCGAAGCAAGTTAGTAGAGGTGATTGATTGTCTAATCATCATCGATCGAGAATGAAGAACACCATTCTGTCGCGGCTATCTTCGTATCCCTACGACAACGGTAACGATGAATTATATTTTTTCTCATTGAAATATATCTTGCCTGTTTATTGAATTTTCTGTTTCAGACTGCAACGAAGTGGTGGCTGACATTCCTTTTCCGATAAGCAGCAACTTGTAAGTACAAATATTACTACTAATCCTCAAAATTTTGACGGTTCTATATGCAGAGGCGGAGCCAGAGAGTTGTTCAGATTGACGACGAAAACATAAAATTAAATATTTTTTCGTTAGAATAATCGAAAAATTGTAATAATTTTTTTGTTTTTTTTGGCGTAAGTTAGAATTTGAAATATATTTATATTTTCAAACAGGATTGGTATCGGCCATGATAATAGTTTTTGCACGTATGGAGGAGATCGCTTTCTGAATCACGAGTTTGGTGTACATGAAAATATGAAATTAGCCCCCCCTTGTGAAGGTGAAACTACTCTCCTGGATTTTTCCCTACAAGACCACATCTTTGGCACATTATCATGGGACAATAATTGGGTGCAACAAACTAATAATGTATGAAACTTAATTAGTACTATTAATAATTATCATAATTATTGATTTCCTTTAATTAATGCAATTTTAAATTATAGGAGGAGGAGCTTCACCTCGTCGGAAATTCAAGAAAGCGTTCGTTCGAGACAACCGATCGAAATTCTTCTAGTGCTTCTGTATCTAAAAAAAAGCCAATGCTCTTTCAAGAACACTTGCCAAATATACAAACACAAAAGGCATATATACATACAACATAGTTAATGCATGCGTCATATATAAATAACGTAGTTAATTACCGTATATTAGAAATTTTAATCAATCGAGTATCTACTTATGAAACGGGAGCGGATGCATGCAGGTGGCGCCGGTGAGGAGATCGAGCCAAAAGTTAACGCACAAAATTACTGCTCTTCAAAAGCTAGTTTCTCCCTATGGAAAGGTAAAAAGAAAAACAAACAGGAAAGATAATTGCAGCTTAATAAGAAGAACATTAATTAATCATTGACCCAAATCGCTACAAATTCAATTTGAACATTTAAATGTAATTTCAAGTGAGTTTAATTCAACAAATGTGATTAATTTGCAGACAGATACAGCTTCAGTGCTTCTAGAAGCTTCCATTTCAATCAAGGCACTTCAACATCAGATTCAGGTTTAAATATTCCAGGACTTTTCTCCACCTTAAATTTTAATTTGAACCTTCACAAATCAAATCAAATCAAATGTCCCATTTTTCATTTATTGAATTTTTTAATTTAATTTAATTTTTATTTTTGCAGGAATTTTTTGACATGGTAAACATTTTGCTACTTCATATCCACCGACACTTATAATTTGGTCTCATAATTAATCAAAAGAAAATATTCAGATAATTTTTATTGCAAATTAAATACATGTTTAATTAAGTTTGTCTTAGTTTCACAAGTACAAAAATTCATGTCCTTCGTTTGACAATTATACTTTTTTTTATTTTCATGGCAGAGAGGAGAAAAAAGATCCAACCTTCAAAGCAGGGGGCTTTGCTTGGTGCCAGCTGTCATTCTTAAACAACTTGAATAACCTTAATTACCTTCCTTAATATTTATTAAAAATAGTTTAATTAGCTCTAATTTAATAATTTAAATGTTTACTTTTAATTAGTTCTTGTTGTTGGAATTAAAACCTTGTACGTGTGATCATAAATTGTCTCACTTCATCATGTTGCATGATTGGTACTATTTCAAAAGAAAATGTTATTCTAAAATAATGAATTACTATAACACAACGATAACTATTTCAACACAATGAATCATTTTATTTATTTTACTAACGTAGACGACTAATCATAGTTAGGGGTGAGTTCGGGACGGGATTTCGGGAATTCGGGATTTTCGGGATCGGGATTTCGGGATTCGGGATAGAAATTTTAAATCCCAATCCCGTCCCATAATATTAAATCCCGGTAATATCGGTATCCCTAAATATTTCGGGAATTCGGGATTGGGATCGGGAATCCCATATTTTGGCTAAAAACTAAGAAATATATATATTTTTTTTCATTAATATTATTTTATACATTAAACCAACTTGAATATATTATATAAATACTATTATTATTGCACTATTTATTTTTACCACAAAACTTGGAACAAATGAAATTTGAAAAATTTAAAAATAAGTTGAAACGATATATTATATTGTATTTCTCATCTCCTTGACAAATATATATATATATATATATATATATATATATATATATATATATATATATATATATATATATATATGTGTGTGTGTGTGTGTGTATGTGTGTGTGTGTTTATTAGTTTTTTTTTTCTTTTTTCCTAATTCGGGATTAAAATATCCCGATCGGGATTGAACCAATTCCCGAATCCCGATCCCGTATTTGTTCCTAATCCCAATCCCGAATCCCGTAATCCCGAATTCCCGAAGTTTTAATCCCAAATAGTAAAATTCTAATCGGGACGGGACGGGATCCCGAATCCCGATCCCAAAGTCCCAGCCCTAATCATAGTCGATTAAATCAAGTCAAATAAATTAGTCCACCGAATTAATTTATTTAGTTTACTGATTTTTTTTAGTTAGTCGATTAAAAGGGTGTTTGGCTAAGCTTATAAGATGTTAAAATGAGCTTATAAGATGTTTTAGAGCTTATAAGCTCTTCCAAAGTGTTTGGTAAATTTAAAAAAAAAATCTTAATTTTTTTTTAAAATAAGCTGTTGGAGACCAAATAAGATCTTTTTAAATAAGTACCTCTACCCCACATTTTATTTAAGATCTATAATGAGTAAAAATAGGAAATAAGCTCATTATCCAAATACTCTAAAAATTAATCCTAAAAATAAGTTGTAACAGCTTATCAGCTCTAAAAACATATTACCAGACATAAGAGCTTATCAGCTGTTTAAAATAAGCTTAGCCATACACCCTCTAAGTTTTTTTTGTTAATCTACTATTCCTTTTTCGTTTTTCGTCAAATGAATATGTTAAAAAACTAGATCTTTTTTTAAGTAAAACGAAGGAGGTTAGCCCTAATTAGCAATTGTCTTAAATTTAATTCGAAAAGGAAAACAACTGGACCCAATTGAAATAATCTAATACGTGGAGGACCAATATATAATAAACATAAAATTACTTTTGAAGAAAAGAAGAGTCTAGAACCAACTAGAATCCAACAATGTAGAGAGAGGACACGAGTTTAACCTAGACCGCCTCTTCCGCGCAGTACTATATAATACCCTCCTCCGTGCCCTAATTCTCCAATCACACACTGCAAAACACAGCCGCTTTTATAAACTCTTTAATACTTTAGATTTTTTCTCTCTCTCTCTCTAAATTTCTGTCCAATTTTTGTATCAATGGCGGGTAAAGGCGAAGGTCCGGCGATCGGGATCGATTTGGGTACCACCTATTCGTGTGTCGGAGTTTGGCAGCACGACCGTGTCGAGATTATAGCTAACGATCAAGGAAACCGAACCACGCCGTCCTACGTGGCGTTCACCGACAGCGAGCGGCTCATCGGAGATGCCGCCAAGAACCAGGTCGCCATGAACCCAATCAACACCGTCTTCGGTAAGTTTTGCTTTTATTTAATTTCTTCTCGTTTTGTTTATGCGTAAATATACCTCTTTTGTTGTTGTGTATTGTGCTGTTTATATTGGATGTTATGCGGATCAACATTAAGCTCGATTTTCGCATGAACTTGTATTTTAAATTGCATTTAGGAAAAATAACGTGGTTGGATCTTAAAATTGAATTTCAGATCTGTAATCGAATTTTAGATCTATAATTGAATTTTAGATCTATAATTGGGTTTTAGATCTAAGTTTGAATAAGCGCTGATGACACAAGTTTTTTCATATATGATTGTTGTTGGTTACAAGTTGTGGCATAGTTTAATTGAACGGGAAAGTGATTATAATTTGAAAGATGTATGGTATATGCGATAGTTTATTTTGATGCTACTTTTAGGAATGTGTTTGTCGATTTGCTTACTATGTTCGGTTGCTTACTATGTTCGGTTTATCGATGCAGATGCGAAGCGGTTGATTGGACGTAGGTTCAGTGACCCATCGGTTCAGGCTGACATGAAACATTGGCCGTTCAAGGTTATTCCCGGGCCAGCTGAGAAGCCGATGATTGAGGTTGCCTACAAGGGCGAGCAGAAACAGTTTGCCGCTGAAGAAATTTCCTCCATGGTGCTGATTAAGATGAGGGAAATAGCTGAGGCATATCTTGGAAAGACAATTAAGAACGCCGTCGTCACAGTACCTGCCTACTTCAACGACTCGCAAAGACAGGCGACAAAGGATGCTGGAGTGATCGCCGGGCTTAATGTGTTGAGGATCATCAACGAGCCAACTGCTGCCGCCATTGCGTACGGTCTGGACAAGAAAGCCACCAGCGTTGGAGAGAAGAACGTGCTGATCTTCGATCTTGGTGGCGGTACCTTCGATGTGTCTCTTTTGACAATCGAAGAGGGTATCTTTGAGGTGAAGGCCACTGCTGGTGACACTCATCTTGGAGGGGAGGACTTTGATAACAGAATGGTGAACCATTTTGTTCAGGAGTTTAAGAGGAAGAACAAAAAGGATATCAGTGGGAATCCACGTGCTCTTAGGAGGTTGAGAACTGCTTGTGAGAGGGCGAAGAGGACCCTCTCTTCAACAGCCCAGACGACAATCGAGATTGATTCTTTGTTTGAGGGTATAGATTTCTATACAACCATTACTCGTGCTAGGTTTGAGGAGCTGAACATGGATTTGTTCAGGAAGTGCATGGAGCCGGTGGAGAAGTGTTTGAGGGATTCGAAGATGGACAAGAGCAGCATTGATGACGTTGTCCTTGTCGGTGGATCGACTAGGATTCCGAAGGTGCAGCAGCTGTTGCAAGACTTCTTCAACGGGAAGGAGCTCTGCAAGAGCATCAACCCTGATGAAGCAGTTGCTTACGGTGCTGCTGTGCAGGCTGCAATTTTGAGCGGTGAAGGCAATGAGAAGGTGCAGGACCTTCTTCTTTTGGATGTCACTCCCTTGTCTCTTGGTCTCGAGACTGCTGGAGGTGTGATGACTGTGTTGATTCCGAGGAACACAACTATCCCGACAAAGAAGGAGCAGGTGTTCTCCACTTATTCGGACAACCAGCCTGGAGTTTTGATCCAAGTTTATGAAGGTGAAAGAGCAAGGACTAAAGACAACAATCTGTTGGGGAAATTCGAGCTTTCCGGAATCCCACCGGCTCCGAGGGGTGTCCCACAAATCACCGTCTGCTTTGACCTCGATGCAAACGGTATCCTCAATGTGTCGGCAGAGGACAAGACCACCGGCCAGAAGAATAAAATTACAATCACGAACGACAAGGGCAGACTCTCGAAGGACGAAATCGAGAAGATGGTTCAGGAAGCCGAGAAATACAAGTCCGAGGATGAGGAGCATAAGAAGAAGGTTGAGTCGAAGAATGCACTGGAGAACTACGCCTACAACATGAGGAACACCATTAAGGACGAGAAGATTGCGTCGAAGCTTGGTGCGGATGACAAGAAGAAGGTGGAGGATGCTATCGAGGGAGCTATTCAGTGGTTGGATGCCAATCAGCTTGGTGAGGCCGACGAATTCGAAGACAAGATGAAGGAGCTTGAGGGCATTTGCAACCCCATTATTGCGAAGATGTACCAGGGCTCTGGCGGTCCTGACATGGCTGGCGGCATGGATGAAGATGGCCCCCCGTCTGCTGCCGGTGGCAGCAGCGGCCCTGGCCCCAAGATTGAAGAAGTCGACTAAGAAGTTAGTCTTTTTGGTTGGTTATTAGGCATCGAGAAATTCGGTGCCATTACTGTTTTTGTTTTTTTTGCATTTCTTTTCCTAAAAACTACTGTTTTGATTTTTTGAACTTTAATCTTAGTTTTAATTAGTAGCTGCATCTGTTGGTTTTTTTTGAAGTTGAATGAATTTTTATCGAGCATAATTAATATTTGTGGTGATTAGTTACTTTGATTTAGCACTTGTTCGTCTATGATTGAAGATTTGAGGTGATGGCAATCTTCCATAGGGGATACTCTGAGAAACAGAGACTATAACACTCAAAATTTAAGATTAGTTAGTTATTTGGTAAAAATGTATTATTCTTTAAAAATAAATAAAATATAAAATATTTATAATTTGATATATTTTCGGTAAATAATAATAAAATAAAATAAATATGTTCCAAAAAGAAATCCTACACATAAACAGGAGGGGAGAGTTGGTAGTAATTAATACTGCCTATAATGAATACAATTGCAGCACCACTATACACAAAATTTAACTCGCAATATTAACAACGTGATTGAAATTAGACGAGCCACGTAAATTACTTGTATGCAGCAAGTGCATCAGCGGCGGAGAAGAGTAGTACTCCAATCCGACGAGGGCGCGTCGGCACACGGGGCAGTTGGAATGCGAGTACAGCCACATATCAATACATGGAGCGTGGAACGCGTGCGCGCACTCCGGTAGTGTCCGCACCTCCTCCCCGTCTTCAAACTCGCACAGGCAAATGGCGCACGACGCGCCGTCCTCCACCACCCCCTTCTCGAATTTACGCGCAGGGAGGAGCTCCGCCACCGAGTTCTCCATACTCATCGCCTCCAGATCGTAGGCCGTTGTCGTCTCCGGCGGCGCCGGTGGGTCACGGCGGCGGTGGTTGGTGTGCTGTTTGGCGGTGATGCAGTGGTAGATGGTGACTACGACGGCGGCCGATGCAGCTGCGATGAGACAGATTATCAGTTTGAGTACTAGCCCGGTATCTTCATCGTCTGCAGCCATTAGTTCGTTGGATTGGAAGAAAATATATTCGGTATACATTCATTATGAATTCAATTGGAATTCGGAATGGATTGACGGATACATCAAGATCACACGTTATTGTCTTTTATGGGAATGTCATTTTCTTCGGGCGGCCATTTTTGGTACTTCTTCGTTGATTTTAAGAGAGAGAGAGAAGAGAGAGGAGAGAGAAAGAGAGAGAGATTTTTATTTTAACAGGAACAAAGAGATGGAAAAAAAATAAAATTTATTGATATCAATGGATCTCCAATAGAACATAAATTAAAAATGAATACATCACCAACACAATCAAAAAGAATCTAGAACTATATAAACCCCCCACAAATTTCCTCACACCAACGCTTCCATCAAATCGACGTACGCTCGATCACTACACAGCGAAGAAGGCCTGAGCGAAACACGCACTTCGTGCTCTTCCGGCCCCACCCCGTGTTTAGGCACAAGAATCTCGAGCATAGTACCGGTCGGATCCCCATACGCCTCCAATTTAGCATCTTCCGGAATACGAGTCGGGAGACAAATCTCCCTAACAAACTCCCCCTTGGGGCACTGCTCGGGCGCCACATCAGCCAATCTAAATGTCCTCTCCTGTCTCTTAATAACCGGCACACAGCCACCGCTCACACACGATATCTTCACAATCCCGTGAGAGAGATTGTTCCTCCAAGTCACCTTCACCTTCTGCAAATCCACAAACGGCAAACTGACCACGATCAAGAACCCTTTTTCGTCCTCGTATATAGTTTTCGCAGCTGTCACCGGACCATACGCACCCCTCATAACTCCACCAAAATCATTTAACCAAGGTGGCTCATTTGCATGGATTTCAAACTCAAAATCGTCATCACTACCTTGTGGAAAGAGATTCTTACGTTTATTACAACCTTTGACAATGTCTGTTCCACTGAGCAAATTCTTGATATGGGAATTTAGATTGGTAGAAGTAGTAGTAGTAGTTTTCATCAACTGCAACGGCCTCTCGAGCTCGTAATCTACCGTGGAAAGATTCCTCCACGACCCGAAATCGGAAGCCTCGAACGGTACGGAGAAGTCGAAATCACGCCCCGTCAAATCCTTCCACCTCTTCCGATCTTCCTCATCGATTCCCGTGAAATTTGGGGATTGGACGATCTCTATGCCGTGGACACACTGAGGGTTGGAAAGGCCTCTGTAGTGCTTCCTCTGCATCCTGTGAGATCTGACGAAGCCTTTGTCCACGCTGAACGGGAAGGGGCGGTCGCCTTGGCGGGAGTGGCCGTTCATGTAGCTTCTCAACTGCATCTTGCCCAACGCATTTTCCGGCCTCTCCTTGAAAACCCACATGTACATGTTCTCCATGTCGTGCTGCACGAGGAAAACCTCGAGCTTCAAATCCGACTTATCGTAGCCGTTGTTGCGGGCGATTTTGCCTTTGAACTTCTCGGTTAGGGCGGGCTTGAAGTAGAAGGTGAAGAAGAACCAAGCACCCCAAATGCTGTCCAAACGCTTTGCGTTGGCGCACTTTTTCCCCGACTTTGCTGGGCAGTTGGCAGCGGCGGCGGTGGTAGTGGCCGGAGTCGCCTCGACGATGTCGTATACTTCACAGGCGTCAGTCCAAGAGTGGTGAGGTGGCGGCGGTGGGCTGGGTTCGGCGGAGAGAGGGAGGTTTATATCCGGTGGGAGCTGTAGGATGTTGACGCACCGATTGAATTCTGATCGGACTCTGTCGGAGCCGGAATCCATGGATAGTAGGGTGGAAAAGTGGCTGCTTTCCATGGATAAAGCTGTCAGCAGATTTTCCCCCATTTGTTCTTTCATCGGCATTCTTTTTGGCTAATGTTTCTCCTCTTTAACAGCTCACAAACATCTTCGCAAAAGATTCAAATCCATCTCACAGAAGAATATTCTATCTACAGTATCTAATTCAACCCGATTTCCAACAAAATTCTCGCAATTCGAGATGAAATCATCATAGAACACGCAAAAAAAAAAAAAAAAAATCACAAATTACCGATTCAGCGAACGATGAAGGAGGAGCGATTGAGCCCACGCGATTGGTTTCTGGATAAACGCGCGAATGAATCGAACGAAGAGGAAAAAAGTAAAGAGTAGCTTCGGGAAAGTTGGAATCCAGGGCAGATGTAAAGCATATGATTGGGGGAAGGGAAGACGGTGGGGAGTGAGACCTGCACCAGTTAGAGCTGCCGTGTTGCGCGATACGCCGTTAGTTGACGGCGATGACGATGAAGGGAGACGGGTCAAATAAGCCGTTTATTGTTCACACCTAGACGTTTACACTTTTACACCCTGGCAATGTGAAATGACCGTATTAACCCTCTCCTATTTACTTATTCACAAAATCGAGCAGATGAGTAAACACGTTTTCTTTTTGTTGCTTTCTTATTCGAGACTACGTTTTTTTAAATTTTGATTTATTTATGCAGTCAAAATTAACTTGAATGTTAATTCACGATTACTAAAGTAAAATCTGGGACAAGTGCTAAAAAGAAGTTACTGATTCACATGAAATAAGATTTATGCTCAACAAAACTTCCATCCATTTTAACTATTTAATTGAGCTAAAACAAAAAGAAAAAAGAAAATAAAGAAACGCTGAAAACAGAAATAAAATCAAAAAAACCAACACCCTTGCTACATCTCCAAAAGACTGCATTTTCTTAATCAACTTCTTCAATCTTGGGGCCTGCACCGCCGCTGCTGCCGCCAGCCGACGGGCCATCCTCGTCCATGCCGCCAGCCATGTCAGCACCACCGGCACCCTGATACATCTTAGCAATAATCGGGTTGCAAATGCCCTCGAGCTCCTTCATCTTATCTTCAAATTCATCAGCCTCACCGAGCTGATTAGCATCCAACCATTGAATAGCTCCCTCGATAGCATCTTCGACTTTCTTCTTGTCATCCACCCCAAGCTTCGACGCGATCTTTTCGTCTTTGATCGTGTTCCTCATGTTGTATGCGTAGTTCTCGAGCGCATTCTTTGCTTCAACCTTCTTCTTGTGCTCCTCATCCTCGGACTTGTACTTCTCAGCTTCTTGAACCATCTTTTCAATTTCTTCCTTTGAAAGTCGGCCCTTATCATTGGTGATCGTAATTTTGTTCTTCTGGCCGGTGGTTTTGTCCTCGGCCGACACATTTAGGATACCGTTTGCATCGAGGTCGAAGCAGACCGTTATTTGAGGAACACCCCTTGGAGCCGGTGGAATGCCTGAAAGCTCAAATTTCCCTAGCAAATTGTTATCTCTCGTCCTAGTTCTTTCACCTTCGTAAACCTGGATCAAAACTCCAGGCTGATTGTCCGAATAAGTCGAGAAAACCTGCTCTTTCTTCGTAGGGATTGTCGTGTTCCTCGGAATGAGCACAGTCATCACACCTCCAGCTGTCTCGAGACCAAGAGACAAAGGAGTGACATCCAGAAGAAGAAGGTCCTGCACCTTCTCATTGCCTTCACCGCTCAAGATCGCAGCCTGTACAGCAGCACCGTAAGCAACTGCCTCGTCGGGGTTGATGCTCTTGCAGAGCTCTTTGCCATTGAAGAAGTCCTGCAACAACTGTTGCACCTTCGGTATCCTAGTCGAACCGCCAACAAGGACCACATCATCAACACTGCTCTTGTCCATTTTCGAATCCCTCAAACACTTCTCAACCGGCTCCATGCACTTCCTGAACAAATCCATGTTAAGCTCTTCGAATCTCGCACGGGTAATGGTGGTATAGAAATCTATACCCTCAAACAAAGAATCGATCTCGATTGTGGTCTGCGCGGTCGAAGAAAGGGTCCTCTTCGCCCTTTCGCAAGCAGTTCTCAACCTCCTAAGAGCTCTTGGATTCCCACCAATATCCTTTTTGTTCTTCCTCTTGAACTCCTGCACAAAATGGTTCACCATTCTGTTATCGAAATCCTCTCCTCCGAGATGAGTGTCACCGGCAGTTGCTTTCACTTCAAAGATTCCCTCTTCGATTGTCAGAAGAGACACATCAAAAGTACCGCCACCGAGATCGAAGATAAGCACATTCTTCTCACCCGCGCTGCTGGCTTTCTTGTCCAAACCATAGGCAATGGCGGCAGCAGTGGGCTCGTTAATTATCCTCAGTACATTAAGCCCGGCGATCACTCCAGCATCCTTTGTGGCCTGTCTTTGAGAATCGTTGAAATAAGCAGGCACCGTGACGACTGCGTTCTTTATCGTTTTTCCGAGATACGCCTCGGCGATTTCCCTCATTTTTATGAGCACCATGGATGAGATTTCTTCTGCAGCAAACTGTTTCTCTTCGCCTTTGTAGCTAACAACAATCATCGGCTTCTCAGCGGGGCCGGGAATAACCTTAAACGGCCACAATTTCATATCCGCCTGCACCGATGGATCACTAAATCTGCGGCCAATCAACCTCTTAGCATCTGCATCGGCAAATCAAGCACTAGTAAGTAATTATACTTATGAAAAGCACTTTTTTTCTAAAACTAATAGAGAACTTAACTTTCATTGTATACCATTCATCTTTCAAATAATTTAAGTATGAAATCACCTACTCATCAATTAAATTATGCTGTTAAATTATGCCACAGCTTGTAATCAACAAAAATCAGATCCGAAAATCACTTATATAACATGTCCAACATCATCAGCCGCAGAATCAATATAAGATCTTTCCAATTTATTGTTTCTAAATCCAAATTACTCTTGAAGCAAATACACCATAAGCAAAATCTGAAAAAAAAAAGTATATAAGCATAAATAAGGAATTAAATAAAAGCAAAAACTCACCGAAGACGGTGTTGACCGGGTTCATGGCGACCTGATTTTTGGCGGCATCTCCGATGAGCCGCTCGCTGTCGGTGAACGCCACGTAGGACGGCGTGGTTCGGTTTCCTTGATCGTTGGCTATAATCTCGACACGGTCGTGCTGCCAAACTCCCACACACGAGTAGGTCGTTCCCAAATCTATCCCAATTGCCGGACCTTCGCCCTTTCCCGCCATTGATTCAAAATTCGACAGAAATTTTAGAGAGAGAAAAAAAAATCTAAGGATCAATAAAAAGCCTATTTGTGTTTTGCTGAATTCTGAATTGTGTGAATGTATGATGGAGAATTAGGGTACGGAGGAGGTGGATATATAGTATGCAGTGGATGGGTCCAGAGTATTCATGTTTCTTCCTTTTCTGGTTTCTTCCAGAGACTTCTTTTCTCCTCCTATGTTCAAACTTCAAACTACTAATACGAAATATATTTCTATTATTTACCGTATTTTTTATTTATCGAAGATTATTTGCCATGTATACGTATTCTATTGGTTATCAGGTTTTTCAATTTGCTCCCATTATTTTTTCCTTTTCCTAATTTTGGTAGTAAAGTTTCTAAGATGGCAATTTCTCGTCCTCCAAAATAAATATTCTTAATTCGTAAAATCGTAATCACTAATCACCATAATATATATAATTTTTAAATATTTCAAAAATAGGGGCAAAATAGTATTTTTTTTTTATTTTTTTTTTTTGAGGGAAAAATAGTATATTTTTTAAATCTTACAAAATTGTAAAAATATTAAAATACCAATTGACAAGGATTTCAACAGCATTACAAGGATCGTTTTTTTTTTTTTTTTTAATTATTATTATTAATACAAGAAATAATTATTTTATGGGACTCGTGTATTCATAATTTTAATTAAATTATATTTTGTTTTCTCGAAATAATGTATCAGATAGGTTTTAGTTAGAATTAAAATTTTAAATTGAAGAACACATAGATGTATTGTACACATTCAATTCGTAATCCAAAACCTCTATAAGCTGCAGTTGGGACCAACCAAATTCCATTAATTTATAGAACTACTATTTTAGTATGTTTTCCTCGAGTCGGGACCAAAAAAGATAATTATGTAAACAAGATTATTAATTTATCGAAAATAACGAAGGCAATTGCATTTCAAGAGATACAAAACAAACATAACCCAACTAAAATACACACCTACAGTGCGAATTCTGTTTCCCATAATACTCGTAAACAGATTATTTGTAACGAAAGAATTACATGTTCAGCTTAAAGGAGCCACAAGAAAAGCTTTTTCTCAACTTCATTAAAAAAAAATTATCAGCCATGTTATTCTCTGGCAAATTCTTGGAGAAATAGTGTAATTATATGGCCTAACAAGGCTCGGACGAAAAATAAGAAAATTAGTCAATTCTCGAAGAAAAAAAACTCATAAATTGAACTCGGTGGTTCAGACAAGACCTCTCTGTTTGAAGACTTCAAGCATTGCAATGCCTATCTTTGCAGGCGATTCAACCACAGTAACTCCAGCTTCTCTCAGGGTCTTGATTTTGTCTTGTGCAGTACCCTTACCTCCCGATACAATGGCTGCAAATATTCAACACGTCAATCTACACTATAAATCGAAACTAGAGGAATACTGAAATTTACATCAATAAGTAGCCATTTTTAGTAAGTTGGAGTAACCAGTCACAAGTGAAAGAAATAGATACGAGTTTCTTGCAAACAGTACCTCCTGCGTGACCCATTCTTCGACCAGGCGGAGCAGTGAGCCCGGCAATGAAAGCAACTACAGGCTTTTCAGTCCCACTTTCCTGTATCGTGGAACAAATAGAGCAGCTTAATTCAAAATTTCAGTACTATATATATCAGCGTAAAAAAAATTGAAAATCCCACAACTACTTCTAGAACAAAATATTGAAGCATAAGCATGTGCTATGTGATTGTGAAGGTAATAATAAATGACGACACAACTATCAAGTTAGGGCCTGTTGTAGCTTTCATGAAAATCGTGTAATAACGTAGAGAATCGCTAACCTTTATAAGGGCCGCAGCATCCTCCTCCGCAGTACCACCTATCTCACCAATAAGAATGATACCTGCAAATGGCAAATGCAAATGGATAAACCAATAGTATCTCGAAGGTCATCAGTTTGAGTTAACTACGTTGGCCTGTGCATTTGGATTCGGCTTTACATATGGTCAATGAAAAAAACAGGATCTAGGGGGAGAAAGGTCTAAAATAAAAATATATGTACTAATAAGTTAAAATGGGTGCAAAAAATGACATAGGTTCGTTAACAGTATGTGGAAAAAGTAATGGCATCTGCGAAAGCACAAAAGAGAATAGTGATGCACCCGTAACAATTTCATAGAATGAAGCACAGACAAAAACTGATCAATATATACAACGGAGCACGGGACTGCCTCAATGTTATTATCGCTATTATTATTATTTACTGGAACTTCATCTTTGCAATTATCATTTCAATTTCTTTGATTATTCACATAATATAGTCTGCATTCTGAAAAGTCTTGGTTTGTATTCACATAAGGATTCATGAATTCCTGCATTCAACGGACTTAAAAGTTCAAACTCATGCTTATATTTGTGTTTCTTGAATATTTAGGGCATTCACTCGGAACAATTAAAAAAAGATAGAGATTTGTCATGGATGTGTATGCCTATATCGTGAATGTCATACGGCAATTGAAAATGAAAAGGAGATAACGAAAAAGAACACCAAAACAAATTCTTCACCTTCTGTCTGAGGATCTACAAGAAATTTCTGTAAGCAGTCGACAAAATTTGTTCCATTGAAAGGATCCCCACCAATGCCCACACAAGTTGACTGCCCAAGGCCAACAGCTGTTGTTTGGAAAACCTAGAAATGCATAATGAACACAATCATTGATAGAGTTTCAATAAAATATGTTTGATTATCAAATAGGCAACCCCAGCGGATTCTTATGTCCAATGGAAAACTTATATTCTGCCAAACAAACAAGACATGTTCATTGCCCTACTAATTACCAAGAACAATAAATAGCCCCCTTAAACAACAAAATGCACACCAATATGTTCAACAAATAAAGATGCATGAATTATTTTATGAAGATTACAGATCAACAACGAAGATCAGAAGGATCAGTAGCATTCTAATCAAACTGGAACATAAGGAGTACCATTTTATTAGGGGATCATGAATATCGGTGATCTTGTCAACCCATAGGATTATATTTAAAAAGGCAGCTTGCTTAGAATTTGCCACGCGGGAACCCGGTTGGGTTTCATAAAATAGAGGCAAGAGATATAAAAAAAATTGAAATATATAATAACTCAAAAAAGTCTATTTTCTTAGGAGGGGCTTCGATGTTAAACCACCTTGGTTGAATAATTGATGTTCAACATTTACATAGTCCAAGAGTATATGAATCTCACCGCTTCATAAGTCAATGTACCCGATCGTGAAACAATTCCAATACGTCCTGGTTTGTGAATATATCCAGGCATAATTCCAATTTTGCACTCTCCAGGCTTGATAATGCCAGGACAATTTGGACCAATTAGGCGTGTCTTCGACTGCTGGTTAAGAGCAGACTTCACGCGAATCTGCAAGTAAGGAAACAGAAGTCTTATAGCACAAGAACGTGAAAACAAAAATCCCAAATGTAAACGGGCCAATTTCAATGCCCATAAATTCGGCTTACAAACGATAATGCAGGATGTTAACCTATGAGTGGCGCAGATATAGTCTAGTACATAAAAGATTATCACAATAAGACTGTTGAACAGAATGTATGACATCATTAAACAATGTGAAAAAATGGCCAAGAATATGTATATATGCAGCCTGTATCACAGTAACATATATGAAGATAAAATAAGTAGCCTATTCAAAGAAAAAGTAAGCCGTAAACATTAACAAACTTTTGCTGAATTAGGATAAAAATAATACATGTAAAATATTGCTCCGTATCAAAACAATGCAAACAAAATTTTAGAAAAATGTAACATACATTAATATATGCATATATAATACAAAGCAATTAGTATGCATATCCACGAGAATATTTTGTAGTTTCGGATATTACTGCTATAGTAAATTACAAACTCCAGGTCCGTGGACCCTGCCCCGACCTTTGAATTTGAAATATTAGTGGAATCCATGTATTACCTACATAATCTTGTATTACAAGTTATTTCTGAACACATGCATTTATATAACAAGTCAGAATCCCCCCCTCGATCTCATAAAAAAACTAACAAAAACATTCATGTGGCGCCATAAAAGATACTTAATAATCGAACTTTATGAGCTGGAATTCGCACAAGAGTCATTCCTTCTATTTATCTTTGTTCCATAATGGTACGCCAAACTGCAGAGGGTAAGTACTTACCATGTCATGCTGCGGTATTCCCTCGGTGATGCAAACAGCCAAATCTAGTTCAGCCTCGATCGCTTCCATAATGGCCTTAGCGGCAAAAGGTGGAGGAACGTAAATCACTGTTGCATTAGCCTTGGTTTCAGCCTTGGCTTCTGCTACAGAGTTGAAAACGGGGAGTCCCAAGTGCTCCGTTCCACCCTTTTTGGGGGTAACCCCTCCAACCTATACATATATACGCAAACATTATCGATATATGACGATAACATAGCAAAGCTAGATTACGAACCTTCATCCTACATCAATAACAAATCAGGATTCCATTACTTGGAGGCTACCCTAAATTTCAATTATTTTTCCAACAAAGGAAAATATAATAAAATACTAAATCGACAGCATTACTGGATACAACAAAAGATCAGAACAGATGTACATAAAAAAATTAAAATAAATAAATAAATAGAAGGACAGTAATGAAGGGTGAAATACCATTTTGGTGCCGTACTCGATGGCCTGCTCGGTGTGGAAGGTGCCATTCTTTCCGGTGATGCCTTGGCAAATGACGCGGGTGTTCTTGTCCACGAAGACGGCGGGAGGAGGCGGCGGCGATGCAAAATTGCGGTGTTGCTGGAGCTGCTTAGGGCAAAACAGCCGCGACGACAAGCTGTGGATCAGTCTCGTAGCTTGCCGAGACATCGATTCGATTCACTGGTGATTTGCTTGGTGTAATTGAGGGATCGATCAATTGTTCCGACAACGAAGACCGGATTGCCGGGGTTTGAGCGGCGGCGGACGGGCTGAGTGTGGGTGGAGGAAAGTGCCCTTGGTGGGAGAGGAATGTGCAATTGAAGACCGAATCAACTGAACTCGTAGGTACTTTTCATATTTCATTATTAAAATTAAATAAAATAAATTCGAGTAATTATTTTATATATAAATTAAAGTGAATTTTAATTATCGATTTATTTACTCATCTATGTACAATAGATTAAAAATGGGAATTTTCATAAATTTATTATAATATATTAATTAATAATCAATTTTCATAAGTTCACTATCATATTGTTTAATGAAAAAAAAAACTTACAATTAAATTTGTGAAGTCTTGTTAAAAGTGAAATAATAAACTAAAAAATTACGAAAATATTATCATAAATGGCAAGATAACTTCAAATCCAGTCCTAATATAACTTAAAAAGTTCGACTTTTCTTCTTAAAATAGAGTCCCTAATATTTTGTTCATCGTAACTCATAGTTTTATTTTAGGAAAAAAAATAATGATCCCACTCCGATTATAAACATGAATCGGGAGTATGTCGGTCGCAAGCATACCGAAAAGACTCGTCACATAACTTTTAACAAATAAAAATTTGACCGGAGAGATTTTAATCGAAACTAAACATATGTGTATCTCATTTGTTAATAATTATCAATACCTAGAATTCACACTTGTTTTAGAGTCAATTGAAAATCTTTGCTATTATCATTTTTTATATGATTTTCCAAAAGTATGAACACATGAATTATTGGTCGTAAATTTGGTTACCTAACATAATTTTAGTGTTGTATATGTGCCGCAACTTGTATTGGGCCTTAACGGACTATTGACTGCCAAAGCATGACTTTCACGGGTTACAAATTACAATTATTTCAATTCAACAATCGGATAATACTTATTGAAAACTGTACATATAATATGTTACAAATATTTATTAGGGCAAATTACGGCCACCTCAAAGTTATGGTCAAATTACGAAAACACCCCTCATGTTTAGGTAATTACAGTCATCAATAACTATGTATTATCTTAGGAAAATACCTATTCACAAGTAAATTTAGGGTGGTTAAATTGGTAAACCGAAGTGAAATTTCGGTACGCCAAAATTTCATACCGTTTACCGAACTGAATATACGATTTGGTTTGGTAAATAACCGAATTACATAAATTTTATGTAAAAATATTTAAAATGAGGGGTAACTATAATTACCCAAACAAGAGGGGTTTTTTCGTAATTTGGTCATACCTCAGGGGTAGCCATAATTTGCCATATTTATTATTATTATTATTATTATTATTATTATTATTATTATTATTATTATTATTATTATTATTATTATTATTATTATTATTATTAATATTATTATTATTATCATTAATAATTATATTATTATTATTATT